CAATATAAAACATTTTTCTCATGAAAGTTACGGTCTAAGGTTTAGGACTATCTACTTTATATTTAATTTTTTCAATTTTTTTTTTACATAAATTGCAATTTTGACATAATTTAGAAACAAAACAAAATTTCGTTTTCAAAATACGATCATACTTTTTATTTAACTTTATTTTATGTTAATATTATTATTTTCTGGAGACAAATGATTTAAAAGAAACACGCTTGGTTCTATGTTGAGTGAGTGATTTTGAGTGCTTAATACCGTAAAAGATAAAAATTTGTTACACTTTTTTACACATAGCAAATCTTATTTTAATACTTAGCATTTGGAATATTTTACTTAGCAAATCAGTCTTATTTACTTAGCACTTTATTACTAGCCCATAAATAACTTCCCTACCAAGTGATGTAGTGATCTCCAAATACTTTGATTTAGAATGATTTCTGTGTTAAAATCGAGCAAAATTGGAATAAAAATAGCTCAAATTGTTTAATTTTGTCAGAAGACTGTTATTTAAGCATTTATTTTGTTGAAATACTTTGATTCAGGTTGATTTCTGGCTTAAAGTTAAGCCAAATCGATTAAAAATAGCACAAATTGCTTCATTTCAGCCTAAAATTGAAGCAATTATTTTTATAAAATACTTTAATTAAGAATGATTTCTGTATTAAAATCGAGCAAAATTGCATTGTAAATAGCTCAAATTGCTTTATTATGGCGGAAATCTGCTACATAGGCATTTATTTTGTTAAAATACTTTGATTTAGGATGATTTCTGGCTTAAAATTGAGTCAAATCGATTAGACCTCCAAGTGATTAGGAATATTACTTATTTTCTAGTTTTTCCCTGACTCATGGACCTAATTTTTGGACCATTTGGCTCAAAATAACTTAACAATTTTTTGATAAAATAGGTAGTAATTACAATCGAGGTGGAAAATATGACAAATAGTACTCCGAGGATTCAATAATAAAATATCTGTTTTTCTGTCACTGACATCGTTGCCTTGGTTTTTGACATTTGATGGTCTCGTAACCTTACATAAATAACTTCCCGACCAAGGGGTGTAATGACAAATTTTGCGACCGAGAAAGTCTAGGAATTGGTATATTACTATAGTGGTTACTTTTTAGTTTTTTCACTGACTCACTGGACTAATTTTAGACCATTTGGTTGAAAATAAACTTGGCATTTTTTCCGACGATTGATAAAACTTTCCCTACAGAATTGGAAATACCGGCGATAAAAATAAACAGATAACTTGAAAATTAGTAATTAGAAGCTCAAGTGCGATAAGATATTGAGATTTTTGGTACTAGGTGCTTCGAAGAATCCACAATTGCTATTATTTTGGAAAAAAAATGTATTTGTATTCTGTCTCAAGTCGATTTTTATCACTTATTTATCGAGTACATGACGCTTTTCCTTTACAAATATTTATGTTAATGAGCATTTGGTGACAAGTTAGTTTCGTTGCAGGTTGTGAAAGACGGTATTAGCGCCGAGAAGGAGAGTGCAAAATGCGCCGAAATGAAGAAAATCCAGGCTGGAGACGTGTCCTACGAGGAGAACAGCGCCGCGGCGTCGTCGAGGGCCCGTCTGGAGATCGACGGAATCTCCGCCGAGAAAAGTCAAATGAAAGCAAAGGTAGATATCGGCGTGCGAAGCCTTGACATGTTGAGACCCTTGTAATCGCTATTTGGGTCATTTGAGACAACACTCCTTCTCAGGTGTGCCACATTATAAATGTAAATAAACGAGAGACAGATAAACTAATTACGAGCCACCATACATCACTTTGTCACGTTCTAATCAAGCGTGGAGCAAATCACGTGAAGTAAAGCAAACATTATTGGTGTTATCGCGATCCAACCGAATTCGCCTCAAGAGGTTTGGTCATCGATTGGAACACTGCGCCGTCGAGACGCCCGACCCTCAGTCTCGCGCCATGAGCCGTCTCGCGGCCGCCTTTTTACTCAAAAATTCGAGAAATTTCCTCAAAAGTTCGCAAACATTGACCATCGCGAGCATTACCGGTAAGATTGAGGTGCGTTCAAAACCGTCAAATAACACAACAATCGATTATCACTCGCCTTGACCCAAGATTTTGAATTTTATTACGCCATTTCATTAATATTTATAGTTCAGTTGTGACCAACAAACCGCACAAACTCGTCGTAAATAGGGATGATTCAGAGTGCGTCTTTTAATTTGAAAATTTGAATGAATCACACGTGTGGTTCTTCTTATCAATCGATTGTTTTCCGTAACTACAGCGCGTAAAATAAACATGGCAATTATCCAAGTCCATTTCTTATTTTTGCCCAGTTGATAGAGTTTTGTCAGTTGGGTCTATACATATCTGTGTTGGGACGCCCACGCGCCGCATTTTTCGCCCAATTTTGCCAATTCGATGTGAAAGTGTGGTGCGGAAATGTCGGCCCCGTGGCCGGTCCGAAGAGGCGCCTTCTGCAGCACGGGCCAAAGTGACACGCCGCTGACTCCCCCAAAACTCGCCAAAAACGTAAAATATTTCCACGATTTAGCTTTCCTTGAAGTTATTTACGTACTCACGCTAATGGTTTTATAGTATTCACGAGACTTAACCTTCATCCGGTTCAGTTTAGTAACAGTGCAATTCCTAGTCAGTATTTTGCAAAAAGATGACGATTTTTGGTAAATAATTACATTGACTGGTGGTTTTAAAGTAATTTAACTACAGATAAGATTAATTAATTACTTTGTTTTGCTAACTTTTGATTTTGATAGGAGATACTGTAACAGTGGTTTTGCAAGTCAGATGACGTTTTTTGGTAAATACAACTAAAATTTTGCGATTTTTTACATCTTTATCGGATTTCGATGAATTTTTGTTTGGCTTACAGAAAAAACTTTGTAGATCATTGTAATTTAATCCAATAACATTTCTAGTGTTGTCTTCTAAATGTGATACTCAAAAGACGAAGGCATTGTTTTTTTACTTATTTTTATACTGAGCTGTGGTGTGCGACAGAGACAAACTTAAGTTTTTACTGATTTCAGATTATTGTCTATTCTTTTCTGAATTATGCACCACATTTTCCATAATTTTAATTCTTGAGACATGAGAGATATAAAGAATGTGCCAAAACGTCAAAATGGGCGCATGGAAGCTTCCAAAAATTAACCGTTTTACTTGTAATCCTTTGAAGTTCCAAGTTTTTTAGATTTTTTGGGTTCAAAGCCGTAATTATGCTCTTTTGGTGAGATAAGCAGTAGTTTTCGGTTTAACTACCTTTTTATGTAGCCTACTTTCTGAACAAATATTTAGTAACATTAGAAAAGCAACGTCTTTTCCAATGCTTTGTATCTCTAGGGCACCAGAAGATAAAATTTTGAAACAAATTGGTCCTCATTCAGAAAAAAACAGGCAAGAATCTGATATAAGTAAAAACTTAATTTTGTCTCTATTCCATACTACTACTAATATTCATTCTCTGCTTTCTTAATAAATGTATTAAATTTTTTCAGCACATCCGGTGTTGCCGGAAATGCTACCATATTTAGTTTTTCAAATGGAACACCTATGTTTTTCTTCCTCCAAACAATAATAATTGACATGAAAAATACTGTAAACCACTATTTATTACATTTTGCGTGACACAAGCAATCAAAAAACATCATAAATCTTAGAATTTTATAAGGAAATTGGTCGTGTGATTTTAAAAGAAAGTGTGAATAAAAAAATGCTTGGATACAGTTAAATTGTTGGTTTGACAAATCTAATTTGTTAGTTGATGAGCGAGTTCTCTTATGGAAACTCTTGGATTTTCTTCGACTGATAACAGAACATTCAGATTTCTATCTTCTTGTTCTTCACAAAAAACCACAGGTTTTTTAGTTTTAAGAAGCGAACCTATTCGTCTCAGTTGTTTTTCAATTCGACTAAATTTCCAACGATTTGGGTGAACTGTATCTGAGTATTTTTCTCTGTACTGTCTTTCAGCTTCCGCTCTATTTTTATTGCACTTAAAAATACTTTAAGCTGATCTACCAATTCGTCGTAATTAATATCATCCATTATTAAAAATCTCAATAAAATTTAGGCTTTTTCAAACTAACAATTAAACGGTATTTAAGCATATTGCTTTTTGTATGAATACCTCGACAAGTAAAATCCGCCTACGTTGCAAAATTTCAATAAAATTCAAAAATTTAAATTGTTTTCTGAGTGTATTATGTAAAGTAAAATATAATAATTATTATCAATTATTATTGTTTCGAGCAAAAAAACATAGGTGTTCCATTTGAAAAACTAAATTTGGTAGCATTTCCGGCTACATCGGATGTGCCAAAAAAATTGATGCATTTACTAAGAAAACGAGGAATGAATAGTATTATTTGAAAATTTAGTTTTTGAAAAAAAAGTAAGTTTAGGTGTTATTGGCCGGGGAGACTTGGACCGAACACCCTGTATACTGTCTGTTTCTGTCACATCTCTGCCTCTCTGCCTTAAAGATCTTGATTCTACTATATAATGTTCTGCAAAGTTCGTTCTTTAAACTGAACAAAAATTCATCGAAATTCGACCAAGAATAACAAAAATGTTGCAATATGAAAAATCGCAAAATTTTAGTTGTCCGCTTAATTTTGGCGGCCAACATTGACTGGTGGTTTAAAAATAATTTAGCTTCAGATAAGATTAATTACTTTGTTTGGCTAACTGTTGATTTTGATAGGAGACACTGTAACAGTGTCATTGCAAGTCAGTATTTTGCAAAAAGATAACGTTTTTTGTTTGACTAACTGTTGGTTTTAATAGGAGACACGCTCACTCAAAGCTGGAGATCTCAGCCAACAAGAGTCGAAAAATATGGCCCAAACGAATATGAAAGTCGTCACTGATAAATTCCACACCGAACAAACAGCGATGGAAAGTAAGCAACAACAACAAACAGTTACGTCTAGTGGTGTTTACAATTCGGAAGAACACACTTCATCTAGTCACTCCTTGTACAAGAGTAGCACCAAAGGAATCAGCTCAGGGGCTGTGTTAATGCGCCAGTTCTGTTCCCTGACCGGCAACAAAGAAGAAGAGATCCTCAACATGACCTGCGAAGACCTCGAACAGCTCTCCACCACGTCCAACCCGCAAGAAGTGGAGCGCGCCATCCACAAGTACTCCTCATACCTCGATCAGTCAATTAAATGCCTCCAGAAGACCGACCAACCGAAGAACGCCCCTCTAATCCTCGATAAAATCAACGACGTGATGCAGAAGGCCTGGGCTGTGCCCACTCACGGCCACGAACTGGGCTATTCCCTCTGCAACGCTTTACGCAACTGCGGCGGTTTGGACCTCCTCATGACCAACTGCACCAAAACCGACAAGAAGTTGCAATTCGCTAGTGCGCGACTCCTCGAGCAATGCCTCACGACCGAGAACAGGGCCCATGTGGTGGAGCACGGCCTCGACAAAGTGGTCAACATCGCGTGTGCATGCACCAAGAACGCCAACTCGGTGGACCACTCCCGCGTCGGGACCGGCATCCTGGAGCACTTGTTCAAGCACAGCGAGGAGACCTGCAGCGACGTGGTGCGGCTGGGGGGCCTCGACGCCCTCCTCTTCGAATGCAGAAAGAGCGACGTGGAGACGCTGAGACACTGCGCCGGGGCTTTGGCCAACTTGAGTCTCTACGGCGGGGCCGAGAACCAGGAAGCCATGATCAACAGGAAGGTGCCCATGTGGCTGTTCCCCCTCGCCTTCCACCACGACGACAACATCAAGTACTACGCCTGTTTGGCGATTACTGTCTTGGTGGCCAACGCGGAGATCGAGGCCCAGGTGCTCCAATCGGGCACTTTGGGGCTCGTGGAGCCCTTCGTCACCTCGCACAACCCCTCGGAGTTCGCCAAGTCGAATCTGGCTCACGCTCATGGCCAGAGCAAGACTTGGCTCAAGCATCTGGTGCCGGTCTTGAGCTCGAAGCGGGAGGAGGCGAGGAATCTGGCCGCGTTCCATTTCTGCATGGAAGCGGGGATCAAGGCCCAACAGGGGAATACGAATATTTTTGCCGAGATTGGGGCCATTGAGTCGTTGAAGAAAGTGGCGAGTTGTCCCAATGCCGTGGCGTCCAAGTACGCGGCGCAGGCCTTGAGACTCATTGGGGAGGAAGTGCCCCACAAGCTGAGTCAGCAGGTGCCGCTGTGGTCGGCCGAGGACGTGGAGGAGTGGGTCAAACAGATCGGGTTTGCCCAATACGCGCCCAGTTTTGTCGAAAGTCGCGTCGATGGGGACCTTTTGCTCCAGTTAACGGAGGAGAATTTACGGGAAGATATCGGGCTAACGAACGGAATTAAACGAAAACGGTAACAAGCATTCATTTTTGTGTTTCATTATTTACATAAATCGGTTCTAGATTCACGAGAGAGCTTCAAAAATTGAAAAAAATGGCTGATTACACTTCTCGGGACACAGCGAATATCAACACGTTTTTGCAAACGTTGGGACCGGAGTTCAGTATCTACACTTATAGTTTGTTAAATGCTGGAGTTGAGACCAAAGAAGCTTTAAGGAATATTTCCGAAGACCAATTATTGAACGAATGTACAATTACGAATTCGATTCACCGATTCCGGATCATGGAAGGAATTAGACAACTCGAAAATGGACTTGCAAATTTGAACGAAGACAATTTGGACAAATCCTTGGACGTATTTGTCAGTTATCGAAGATCAAATGGATCTCAGTTAGCTAGTTTATTAAAAGTACATTTACAATTAAGAGGCTTCAGTGTCTTTATCGATGTCGAACGTTTAGAAGCCGGAAAATTCGACAATAACTTGTTACAAAGTATCCAAAAAGCGAAGCACTTCTTACTGGTTCTCACACCAAATGCTCTTGAGAGGTGTAGAGGGGACAATGAACGGAAAGACTGGGTGCATAGAGTAAGTTGAACACATTTAACAAAATTTTGATAAAATTATCTCAAATTATATTTACGAACTTTGTCGAATTACGAGTGTAACAAAATTTCGTTCGTTTTAGGAGATTGTGGCAGCTTTGCAAGCTCAGTGCAACATTATTCCCATCATCGATAACTTCCAGTGGCCGGAAGCGGACGAATTACCAGAAGACATGAGACAAGTGTGTCATTTTAACGGAGTTCGGTGGATTCACGATTACCAGGACGCTTGCGTGGACAAATTAGAAAGGTAAATTACGTGTACCAAACAAGAAAACAGAAACCCATTTTTGTTAAGAGTCAGAACCAAAAAATCGATGCTTTCATCACCCTCAGTCACAAAAGACTGAAAGTGTACGTTTTTTTTTCCTACAACAGAACTACTAACAAAAAGTAAGTTTTTCCACCCTAACTTCCGAAAGCAAAGTGACCAAATATCTTCCAGGGAGGTAACCATTTTCCTCCCTTATCTGTCAAAATTACATTAAAAAATATTGTATGTAATCCCTCAGGAAAGTAAAAATTTTACCTCTCTCATAGAAACGCAAAAATATGCTACTAAATTTAATGACAAAACTGGGATATTAAGAAAATTTGTTATTTTTAAAGTTTTTCGTGCTGGATCGTAGGAAAAATTATATGTACATTGGAGGAAAGTGTCTTTTCCTCTCTTATAATACAAATAACTATTACATAAACTGAATAGTTAAAAAACTTAAGAGAGGTAAAAATATAATTTGTTATAACAACTTAATGATTTGTTTAACTCGGTATTGTAAAAATCTGGGGAAAAAACGGAATTTTCAACTCAAACATCTGCTTATACTTTCGAATAAGATAAAAATGATATCATCCTCGGCCTTATTCTGTGATTTTTCACTTTATTTTTAAGAAAATTTTGCAAAATAATTGCATTTTTACGCTAAAACGCTCGATAAATACATAAATACAACCTAATTTGTTGGTTTGTTTGGGCAAAATCTCGTGCAAAACCTGAGATTTTAGTACAAAAACGTTCTTAAAAGTATTTTCGTCAAAACTTTGTGGTTTCTCGGCTTATTATTGGAAAAATCTCGTGAAAAACGAGTTTCAGCTTAAAAATTTCTTTAAACTTTCGAAAAATACAAAAATGGCATCATCGGCCTTATTCTGTAGTCTTTTGGCTTGTAGTTAACAAAATTTTACAAAATAATCGCGTTTTTAGCTGAAAAGTGTGCTAAAACACTTAAGAAATGTAAAAATACGACCTATTGATACGACCTGTTGATTTTTTGGTTTGTTTCAGCGAAATCTCGTGTAAAACCTGATATTTTAGTACAGAAACGTGTATTTTTGATAAAACTTTGTATTTTCCCGGTTTATTTTTGCAAAATCTCAGAGTTTTTTTGTTTAAGAATCTACTTAAACTTTTGAAAAAGAAAAAAATGATATTATTTTCGTCCTATTCTGTGATTTTTCGAATTGTTTTTAACAAAATTTTGCGAAAAAAACATTTTTTGGTAAATAATTGCTAAAACGCTCAAGAACTAAAAAAATACGGCTTGAAATTTTCGTGCAAAAACGTGCTTAAAAGCACGTATTATTATTTTCTAAACTAGTTAAATTGAGTGAAATATACAAAAGATAAATTTTAATTTATTTTGTGATATTTAGGCGTGTTTGGACAAGATTTCGCAAAATAAATTTTACAATTTTTAAGCCTTCTTAAACGAATTAGTTCGATTAATATCAAAAACGTGTTTAAACGCTAGAAAAAGGCACAAATAACACCGTTTTGGGCCTATTTTGTTGAATTCTTGCCTTGTTTTTAATGAAATTTTGCGAGATAATTGTGTTTCTAGCTGAAAAATGTACCTACTAACGCGTTCGCAGAAAGGGAAAAGTTAATTGTTATTTTCCACTCTGTTTCGTAAACTCTTATACTTATTTATTTATTTTTTTTTTGAGAAAATTTGGTGAAATAATCAAGTTTCTGATTGAAAAACTTGGAGAAAGCTCGAAAAAGCATAAAAACTAGTTACATTTATTTTTGACATAATTTATTATGCGAGTATCAATAATTTTTGTGGTAACCGCAGAGTTAGAGTTTTTTCATTTCCAAAAAATTACCCGATTAGAATTTTTACCCGAATTTATCCGATCAAACACGAACTTGAAACTGATTAAAAAAATTTCTGGGGCTCTTCGTATAAATTTATTATTTGAGTTGTGGATACGAGAAAAAGCCACTAAATTTCGTATCTAATTTCAGGTTCATGCGCGGGGAGCTGAGCACGCGGTGCACGGAGGGCGTGAAGTTCGGCAAGGGCGACAACACGCCGGGGACCCCCGCAAACCCGGCCCTCGCTCGACAGCCCCCAAGCTACCAGCGAATGCACAGCAACGACTCCGGCAGTGGCAAAAGCTCCGACAAGGACGTGAACGGCAACACGGGACTCTCTAGAGACTGACTAGATGGTCCCCTCGCCTCGGGCCCCCCAACTCCGTTGCCTAGGTGAGTGTCAGGGTGATTGCATGACCCCCTGCTTTCATCCCGAATTCTACAGGGTGTGTCAAAACTCGTCCCCAGAGAAAAATTTCAAGTAAGATAAGATACCATGGAAAAATGTTTAAAAAATTCTGTCTGTCAAAAAGTTTTGACATTTGACATTTTTAATGATTTTGTGTATGTTTTTTTATAATTTTTTATATAATATAATAGAGTCAAAGTGCAAAATTTAAACTCTCATAACTTTTAACATTTTTTCCATGTTCCTGGTATTTTAGCTGGCATTTTTCTCTGGGGCGCGAGTTCTGGCGCACACTGTATAACTTTCCGTTTTTCTATTAACCAATCCACGACTAACGTAAATATTTCAGTTCTTATTTGCAGGTTCTATAAAACTGCTAGTCCGGCGCGGAACTGGATAATGAATACGAGTCGACATCCGCGGGGCTTGCCCCCGCAGCATCCCTACCATCGCCGGGGTTCGAACAGCCCCTCCGTGGGGGCTGGGAAGCCCCCGACGCCGAACAGATCTCGCAGTCTGGACGGGCTTCTCGACTCAGAACCGACTTGTGCAGCTTCAGATGCAACTATTGAACCCACTCCGTCCCAAAACACGAAAAGTTGTGACGATTTAGATAAAGATTTCGACGAGCAGACTGAAGACGCTAACTTAAGTGCAAATAACTTGGACGTCGATAAAGTTTCGATACAGAGCGGTTCAAGTGATTCGAAACGAAAACGAAATTTCATGGACCGATGTGTCAGTAAAGTGAGATCTCTTATTAAAAAGTAATTTACTGACGTGTAAACTATTTTAGTGAATTTTCATACATATGATGGCAAAGTGATATAATTTTATTTATTATTGTATTTGTTATTTATAAGTGGTGGATTCATAATCCATCAACACGGTTTTAATGTGTAAAGAATTGCTTATACAAAGCAATTTTTTTATTTTTTTAATATGGCAACTAAATTACTTAGTACAAAATTGTGCTTTTATATGAAATGTGATTATCATGCAGCCTTTCAAAGTCGCTCTGACTTATTTTTCGACGTTTTTTTAGCACTAAGGAGTACATTAAAATAATGTATGTAATGTTTTAATATGTACAGTTTATTGTACCAAGCTTGCCTCAATTAGCAGTATTGGTAAAAGTTTTGACAATGCATCATTGCCTTATTGTTCGAAAATATTCTTATGCGGAATTAACACATTTTACTAGTATTGTAATTATGTTGTTTTTTATGTTAAATTTAAAAATATATTTTATTAAGACACCACGCGAGTTTTTTTACCCCAAATATGCCCAAACATAAAAGTAGACCCCCAAGTAAAGTACTATGTATTTATTTTTAAAAAATCCATAAAAGAACAAACAATATTTTGTTAAAATGGTCCAAATCAATTTTTTTTTATTGTAATTCCGGTTTGGTATATACTGATTGCGCTGTTATTAGCTTTTTGGTAGGTTTGGTATCGTTGGTCGCATATCGCTAGAAACATCCTAGAAAATATCGCCAAATTTTAAAAAACAATCTTTCTCATCTACATCTATAAAACCCAAACAAAAAGAACAAACATATCTACTTGAAATGGTACAAATAAAGAATTAATTCTAGCTTCTTTTTGTACCGATTTTGGTGGTCGTGGTATACTTGGTCAGTGTCGTCGCTAGAAACCACCTTCTGAAAACGTCACAACAACATGACGTTTGAGGTTATGTTTGGTGGGCCAAAAAATACGAATTTTTAATTTTTTCAAATGTATTGAGACCAAAAAAGTTAAAATGCAGTCGTACGTCCAAAATACTTCCGATCTTCCGCCAGAACTGTGCGCCAAGCCCTTGGCCCTTGTGGGAGTGTCTGGTTTAGACACCCTCAACAACGCAGTCCACAAGTCAATTTGGGAGACCTTCAGTAATAACAGGAGGGCCGACCGGTCCCCCGTCATATTCAAACTAATCGGTAATGCCCACGAGTTCCCCGTAATCAAGCCGAAACGAAACTCCTACGACTGGTACATTCCCAAGGGGATCCTGAAACGCAACTGGATGAACAAACACCTGTATGAAATTCCAGCAGTGATTGTTATTTTCTATGATTTAGACTGGAACGATAACATGTGGAACGAGAAAATGATCGAATGTGCGTCTCGCGTGCAGTCCCTGAGGTGAGTTTCGGGAAAATTGGGGCAAATTTAACCTTTGTTTTGAAGGGCGGCGCTGGAGGGGCGCAATACACGCATAACTGTGGTTCTGATCCAAAATACCTTGCCTTTGCCGCCAGGGGAGGACGTCTTGGCCTCCGATAGGGCTATAAGTTTGTGCGCTAGTTGTGAATTAAATGCGAGTTCACTGTTTGTCCTCCCCCATGGGGACCACCTACAGGGCTATGCTGTCAGACTGGAAAGCGCCTTTTATGAGTTTGCGCAAAATTATTACCACAATGAAATTAAAACCATCAGGTCGCATAAAGAACACTTGAATAAGACCTCCCATCAGTATTTGTTTGTGAGACACCAATTTAAAATGGGGTTTCTTTATGAACTCAAACAGGATATTCACACAGCTCACAAGTATTTAAAAAGGAAATTTAATTTTTTGTAATTATCTATTTTTCATTTTTAGGCATTACACACATGCTTATAATTATTTATTGGAAATTCGCGTGGTGGACACGAACGCGTTGGAAATCCGGACCATTGCTGGTTTTATTAACTACAAGTTGTGCAAGTTAATGTTTGCGTTAAATTTGCCAAGAGATGCAATTTCGCAGTTTAAGGCACACATTGATCGGTTTAAAAGTCGAATGGGTTTTCATGAATTGAGTTTTGAACACTATGCCTGGCTATCAAAACAGTGAGTCGTTTGATTGTAATGAAAATAATTATTTGTTTAGGTTCTCTGTTTTTGGTGATATTTTTGATGAAGCCGTCAAATTGGGATTACCAGCTGTTCAGACCCAACATCCTGGGATTTATTATCAGCAAGCTGCACAATATGCCATTCTCAGGAAAAAATCGTGTCAGGATTTGTGTTCGGTAAGAATAAATTTTTATTTGGTTATTTTAATTGTTTAAAATTTTGATATGTGAGACCAGAAACGAAAATGTTGTAAAGTATGCGTATGTAAAATGCTCCAAAGAGTCGATTGGCGTCAAATTTCCGCAAGATTATTAACTTATATAAGCAGTGTCAATTTTTCTATTTCTGCGATTTTTTCCGATATTTCGATTGCATAAACATGTGGAAATTCGATTTTCTAGACGTAAAGTCACCGGCCGAATATAATGTAACAGGTTAAAATGCTCTACGACGAGTAGTTTTCGGGATATAGAGCTATTTTGGCCGTTTCTGGGTGCTGTTGTATATTTGGTTGCCTATACTACAACCGTTTTTTGTATTACTGATGGTGTGTCAACGAAAAATAAATTATGTATTTTTTAATATATCAGTTTTTAAAAAAATAATTAATTTTGAAGGGTCTTGAAATGAATCTAATTTTTTGTTTCTATAGTGTGTCCCTTGATAGAAGAAACGTCTCTTGTAAAAGATATAAAATTCTCGATTTAATTATTCATTTTTTTGGGGTTCAGCCGCTTGGTTAAAGATTAATTTCTAACATAATTTTAGTTTTGAAAAATCATCAGGTAATTTTCAAAAAACCTATTTTCTGTAAAGTGCCTTTTGTACGGCAAATATGACAAAAAGTTACTTAATAACTTTTTGTCATATTTGCCGTTGTTGTTTAGAATCAACATCTGCGCCCATATATCAAATTTCAAAATCGATGTTTTTTAATTTTTTTATGTTAATTAATTTACAATTCAAAGAATTTTATTTTTGTCAGTTCTTTAATTACGAATAAAAAAATTACTTTTAGAATATAAGAACTAAATAAAATTTTGACGTTTCTGTTAATAAAAAACAATTATCTTGGAAAAAAATGAAAAATTATTGTTGATTGATGATTTTGAAATTTGGTATAGGGATCTAAATGTTGATCCTAAAGAACTTCTGTTCATAACTTTTTGTTGTATTTGCCACTTTACAGAAAAATAGTTTTTTTTTTAAATTTCAAGGCATACTGAATTTTTGAAAATTAAAATTATGTTACAAATTATTCTTGGGTGACACCCCAAAAAATTAAAATTTAAATCGGACAACTGTATAAAGAAATGGGTTGAAAATCCAGAATAATGTAAATATATTTGTTTTTTCTATTTTTTTAAATATGACTTAATAAACTATGATCATCTGTTTGTTTTGCTTCTGGGGTTGCTGCACTTTTGAATAAAAATAAATAAATAAAATACATAAATTACATAAAAAGTAAATAAAAAATCATTCTAAATCAAAAAGAAATGCATCTAAATGATAAAAAATGTAACAGACGTCGATGAAAAATAGGATAAAACTTGGATCTATTTCGTAAATTTTTGATTCCTAAAAATAAAGTTTTTGCTTCAAAATATAAGTTTGACATGTACAGGTTAAATGTTTTTATTCTGTAAATACATTAATTACAAAGACAAAAAAATTGTGTACAATTCGTTTAGTTATGACTAATTTTAATAATTACTATTGATTTTGGACTTAAAAATTATTTTGTCCTAAAGATTCTAAAATAATTTATGTAACTTTTAATTAGTCAGTCAGTATTTTTAAAGTTTTTAATATTTAACACTGATTAAAATGTATTGAAAATGATGGAGCTAGAAAGGCAATAAATTCTGTTCTTTTTCTTGGTCTCCAAATACATATATTTAGTTTTATTTTGAAAAATAAATAATAAAATAAAAATTAGTACTTCATTATGCTAGATTTTAACACTGGAGAAAATCGGAATAAACGAAATAATTCACGAATAGGTTCATAAAACGTTGTTGGGTGGGTTTGTGAAAATCGTGAAAAAAATCCCTGAAAAGCCGTAAAAACTTTAAAATTGAAATAAAAACAGGCTCTGAACATTATACGATTTGAAGTTGTAGTGTGGTGACATATTATAAAAAATTGTTCAATACGTGTGTATTTTTTAACTACTCCGTTTTAAAATCACAATTATATTGTGTTTAAGGAAACCGTCAGTTTATTCTTTTCCAACTCTATAACTCATCAGTCTTATAACAAATTGCTTCAAAAATAAACGAAATTCGCTGTTTGAAGTAAAATATATTACACAGTAATTGATTATTGTTTGGAGTTTTTGTGGGCGTCTACAGGAATTTTTTGCTTCCGGAGGTTTAATTCTTGTATTATATTGCAGCCATACAAAACCAAACTTACGACTTCCATTTACTAACACAGTTTACCTTTGATATAAATATTAGTACGTAAAATAGAAGGAAGTGACTTAAAATAAATATCAAACTTATTTTAAAACTGGGTGAATGAATTCTTAAATTGCAGAACATCATAGCTTACCCCCAACCCGACCCGCTAGAAGGGGTAAATAACATGGAATTTTACGGGCAAAGGCCTTGGCGGCCCGGAAAATTATCAGCCGAACCCCCGGATCCCCAATTGGAATCAAACGGAATCCAAGCAATTCAGTATTTAGAGAAGCAATTTGCACATTCTGTACGTCTTAAAAAAGGATTATGAAAATCATTTAACTTTTTTTTCTTCTAGAACTCGATTGTTTCTCTGTATGGTTTAGCAATTTCGCAATACAAAACGTACAGATGTCCTCGGACGAGAAGACATTTGGTGTTGCAAATGGCCGAGGAATATTACAACTCGCACGACTTTGGGAAAGCATTGACGTAAATATTTCCAATAAGTGATGAATTTCTATTTACACAGTTATTATTAGTCTTCTTACCCACATGCTGTGGGATTTTCGGACGGAAAACTGGTGGCTACTCTTGACGGATATTTTAGAAAGAGCACTCAGATGCGCTTATTTAACAGCAAGCGTTCAGGATTACGTACTATTAAGTCTTGAAATTTTAGGAAAATACAGTAAACTCAGCACTGAGCAGAAAAAACGGATCCATGAAAATCTCCAAAGGATTTTAAAGGTAAAGCGACGAAAAAATTTCAATGTTTATATAAAAAAAATGAACAGAGACAGATACCCTTCGGGGACCAAAAACTAACCCCCGACGTGCTCCAACATGCCGTGATTCAGTGGCAACCAAAGCTGCAAACAGAACCGATCCATCTTGCACTCGATCTGGGAAATATCTCGACCTGCATTGAAACCAAAGCCAGGTTCATGCAAGCGAAATACGAAGTCGACCAAAATGTCACGGTCGAAGTCTACATCAAGTAATTACAAGTTATTTTTTTTCTATTTTGCAACTTTAGCAACGCTACCCAAACGAGTGACTTAACAGCTTAGTGCATTTTAAGTTTTTAATCTTGGTGACAATGAAACTACTTTTTTTATTACCAATTCCTAAATTTTCGGTGTCGCAGATGAAAAAATCATGACAATGAATTTTTAGATTGCACACAATGACAAATGTCAGTTCTAGTCGAATTTTCCAACGCATGAATAACACTGCTACGTGTTACTAACTGTCCAAAATTCCTTAAATTTACAATTTTGTTTTTTCTTTCAAAAAAAAGCGCAAAATAGAAAAAAATGTATAAAAAAAACTCGTTTTTTTTGTTCTTCAACTCGTCGCTACTCGGATCGTTTCAATAATATAATTAGATACCGAAATTAATGTAAATAAATAAAAATCTCGGAATATACAAAACATGACATCAAAATTTATCTAGCACAATTACTTAATACTATTTAGGGTGTTTTATAAAACACAAAAAAAAGAAAAATGCCAAGTAAAATAAAATAACAGGAACATGAAAAAAAATGTTAAAAAATTCTATCTCTGAAAATTTCGAAGTTATAAGAGTTTAAATTTTGCAATAATTATGAAAAAACATACAGTTGGAGACAAAATACTTTGGTCGTCAATGTCACTTGAGTGACATTAAATTGTAAAGCATGCTTTACTGTTATGTACATACTACTGTCAATCGTAGTTGACAAGTTGTATGTACATATTTTTGACAGAAAAATATAATAGCTGTCAGTAATTTGACATTGTCGTTCATTTTAACGTTAAAACTTGAATTACATTAAAGTGTCAGAAAAGTGACGACCAAAGTATTTTGTCTCCAACTGTACCTATATAAAATCATCGGTAGCAATAGAAAAAGATGTCAAATGTCAAAAACTAAATGGCAAAAATTTTAAATTTGTCACAATTTTAAAGATTTTTTTAATGTTCTTTACCTCACTTGACATTTTCCTATTTTTGTGTTTTTTTTTAAACACCCTGAATACAAAAGTCAAAAGGTGTTACTTTTTGGAAAAAACATATTTTTTTGTTAAAAGTGAGTATGAATTAAGTTAAGAAAGACTTATGATAGTGAAAAAATGTTAAGAGACCAACAGATTTTTCTGGACTGGAGTTTAAAACTTAAAAAAAAATGTAATATCGGGTAGAATTGGATTTTATGTCACCAACTCAGACAAAATTCCCTAAAAATATTTTTTTTCTTTAGAAACAGCATAAAAAGCGCAAAATAGAAAAAATAATATAAAAGACTCGTTACAGAAGGCTATTCACGCAATCGTATCGCCGCTACTCGGCGGTTTCATTTCGGTCTCTTGATAATTGGATGCCTCCTGCAACTCGTATTTAACATTTTCTTTATTGCAAAAAATTAAGGGAACAAAAAATTTCCAAAATTATTTGGTGATTTTTAAAAAGCTGTATCTCTGTGAAAAATGGTCGTGACGAGATTAAAAAAAAAGGATTTTAAAGCTTCCAAGTTTCTAGTTTTGAGATCTTTCCACAAAAAAAAAATTCTGAGCTACTGTTATCACGCAATCCTAAGACAGCGCGAAAAATTTTTTTTATAGTTTTTTAGTCCATGGACGTTAAGCTTTTATTTTGTCAGGTTGATTTCTGGCTTAAAATTAAGCTAAATCGATTGAAAATAGCCCAAATTGCTTCATTTTGACCTAAAATTGAAATTTAAGGAATTATTTTTATAAAATGCATTGATTTAGAATTATTCCTGGGTTAAACTCGAGCAAAATTGAATTGGAAATAGCTCCAATTGCTTTATTTTCACAGGAAAGTGTTATTTAGGCATTTATTTTGTTGAAATCCATTGACCCAGGTTGATTTCTGGCTAAAAATTAGGCCAAATCGATTGGAAATAGCATAAATTGCTTTATTTTGGCCTAAAATTTTGATTTATTTTTTTTAGTTAAATCAGGGGGGTCGAATAACTTGTTCGTTCAACTTCAAGTTGCTTTTTTTATATTCTGTTTACGTAAATTTTTTGTTGAGATATCTTAGTTTTAATGAAAGAAATCCTTTTAAATCGAAGACATGTCAAAAAAAGCCATTTTTATATTATATTTCTTATTTTAAAAATTTCGTATAGACTGTACCCAAATTGAATACTATTTTAAACCATACGTATGTAAAATGTTCCGGAGAATCGATTGACGTCGAGAAAACCGCAAAATTCTTGATAGTTTAGATGTTATTGTCGAATTAATATTTTTGCTATTTTTGTCTTTACCAGCGATTTTTTTATTTTTTCAACTATTTATCGCAGAACTATGATCTTTTTTTATAACATATGAAATTAAAAGTACTTTCCAACTGTACCAAACATAATACAGTTATCGAGATTAATTTTAAAGTTATTTATTTATCCTGAAAAAACATCGTGAAAAGTGACAAGTGGCGATAGCTATGCCACGGGATGTACTTTAAAAATTCAACTTGTCAATAAGTGACGTTAATATTTGACATTTTTATGTAGCCCAATCTACTCCAACAAAATTTTCCTGTACTAGTTTTTTGTGAATTTGAATTTGTAGGTATCTGCATACCTACACACAGATATACATACATAAAAAAATTACTTACTTAATTACTTTATTTCAGAATTATTTATATTTTAATAGGAAACCAATACTCATCAAAGTTTTCTGAATTGTCATTATTTATTGAGTTACTTGTTTTGTACTATTGTACTAACTTCAAGTGGCTTTTTTTATATTCTATTTACGTAAATTTTTTGTTGAGATATCTTAGTTTTAATGAAAGAAATCCTTTCGAGAGAAAAAAATTAACTTTTGTTTTTTAGTAAATCTACCGCGTATTTACAAATAATGTGGAGAGACTAATGTTTCCAGGTTTTTGATAGTCTAATGTACCCCCAATAACCCTATCAATTTTTAAATCTCTCACTGATTGATCAAAATTTTACAAAAGAACTGAAGAAACATTGAATAATTTTCATCAAAATACAAACCTTTTTTGTTGAACTTTTGTTACAATTTTGCATTACGAATTACTTAGTTGTTTGTTAAATTTGTTTAAAAAACAAAATTTCACAAAAAATTAAATTTTCTTGGCAGATAGGTAAAAATTCAATTAACATTACAGACTAATTTAAAAAAAAAGAAAACTTGAAACTTCAAAATGTTTTTTAATTTAGGTGCAACCAGTTTTCAAAACTACACCAGGAAATTTTTTGTCCCCTTAATTTTTTGGTGTATTATTAAAATTTTGACAAATAAATTTAAGATGCTCGAGCCCACTGCCTCTAACTTTCGCTAAAGTGTCAGTTACGGTCAATACTCCGTCGTATAACTGCGAATATGCGGTTGATGATCGAAATTTGAGCTCGAATTCTCTGGACTTCGATTCTGATGAAGCAAAACGATTCGTTATTGATTTTATCCCCGACTCTAACGACGTCAATAGCGAGATCCAAGTAAGTGGTTGAATTGGCAACCTGGACGTTGCCACTTCACGCTTCAATTTGTAGATTGGCGCAATAAATTTACTGATGGGAAATCAGAATGAAACGAGTTTGGATCTCAAATTCAATCCTCAGAACAGCATGAATCGCGTCTGTCCTGAATTGTTGCACTTTAAATACTGTCCAGATAGGCTCGATTTTGACAATATTTCGCCTCGAACCAACACTTTGATCATCCCGAGACATTCCAAGCTGGAAATTGGGCTAGAATACGCAATTCCGGCGCTTTTAGGCGAGTGGTTCGAAATCAAGATTTTTATAAACAACGAGGAACCGCACGATATTAAAGAAATGAAAGTTGAGGTGACTTTGACTAAAGACGAGACGATTAGTTTAAGTGAGTTTTTAATACTAAATCATCAAGTTTCGTATATAAAAAAATCGCAGCTGAATTTTCGACAAATTCGTCTGGGGTCCCCGAACGGCTCCCTCTTGTGGTGAAACTCCCCGCTTCGTTGCAAAAGGGCGAGAAATGTTGGGGGAGTTTCTACTTAAGGGCTCACAAAGTGGTGGAGAATCACATCGAAGTGAAAATTTCGTACAGTCTAGACCGCGAAAAGCCAGTAATTAGTATAAAAACGGAGACAATAATAGTACCAGTGGTGAAACCCTTCGAAATCAGTACAAAATTCCACTCGTCCTTGATGGAAGAAATTGGCCAGTTTTACGTAGGCGAAGAAGTGGGCGTGATGTGTAGTCTACGTTGTTTATCACCTTGGCCAATAATCATTGAAAATACCTCAATCGAATTCGTGCGTTGATTTATAAGTGTTTGGATTGGTCAAAAAAGTGTGTTTCAGACGTCACCTTGCAAATCCACTGAAGATAGCACCGTAAGTCATTTAGCCAATACGAGATTGGAGGATAAGGAAGTTGGCGTCGAATTATTCCTAGCGGTGTGTGAGAAAAGCTGCGATAGCAATGTCACAGTGGGGCAATATATGGTCAAGTGGCGGAGGTATTGTTTTGGAGTGTGAGGGCGCCACTAGTGGTGTGTTTTAGGGAGAATGGGCTTAGTACGACCAGTCAATTGACCGTAATTGGGCATACGTGCCAGTGGATACCTCTGGAGTTGAAAATGAGGGTTCCTGCACATGGGTTTGTAAGGACCCCCTTGCTGGTCGACTATCACTTGTATAATAGGTCACGACAGTTGCTGCAATTGGATGTGGCGATGGAAGGGAGTGAGGCTTTCATGTACGCTGGATACAAACAGGTAGAATAAGAGGAAAACAAAACGCAAAAAGTTTCTTCATCTCATTTGTTTCTCTATTTTTTTCCATAACTATTCATTTTAATCAAAAATAGAAAAAGTTTTCTGCATAGATTTTCCTTTGAAAATGCGCCAATGGAGCTCTTTTTTGTTTTTTGACTTTTTTTGCAAAAAAAAAAATTGTAATAAAAAGTTTTCTTAAAAACAAGGTAGGGTGAGAAGTCACTATTTTTCACAAATCTCTTTTTATTTTTAAAATGATACTATTGATAATAGTTTCGGGGATAATTGCTCGCCCAAAATTTTGACAAAACTCGAAAATTTGAAAAGTTCAAAATTGAACCTCATGGTGGTCCAAGAGAGTTAGAAAAGTGCAAAAACATTGCAGAAGACTCAGAAATATGCATAAAATGTTATTGGGTCGAGTTTAAAAGAAAGATTTTCTTGAGTTTTCGTAAAAATAGTCGATCAACTTCTTGTCGGAAAAACGCTTGAAATGTGGTATTCTAGACGTAAAAACACGCGTTAAACACGATGTAACAGGTTAAAATGCTCTGCGGTGAATAGTTTTAGAGATATTGAGTAATAAAGTTAAACATAAGGCTAGAAGCCCATATCCGATTCTGACCAAAAATCAAAAAATTTTGATTCTTATAAAAACTAATACTATGTGTAAAATTAACCGGAAAATACGCCTTTTCAAACCGTTGACCTAGGAATTATAGTTTTTGAGATAGGATTTTTTTATGAAAAAAATTAAAAATGACTATATCCGGGATCATAATCCGAACCAACTTCCGGTTTGCGCCATTGCCATTAGATAGATAACTTAAAGTAGATTTAAATAGTTTTTAACTTTTTGCTCTAAGTCTTATAGTTTCGAAAAAAAACGCATTTAAAGTTTCACAGTTTTCGAAAATTTTTACTTTTTGAACAACGATTACGGCCAAACTATTAGACTTAGAGCAAAAAGCTCAACACCATCGTAATCAGGGTAAAAAAATCTATCTAACTATAATTTTTAAACGCCGATTACGGCGAAACCAGAGGAGATAGCGCAAAATGTTTGGCAAATTCGTAATCAGCGCGTTCAAATCTATCGGATAGGTTTAAACCGAATGTAAGACATGTCAAAAAAGGCCATTTTTATATTATATATTTCTTATTTTAAAAATTTCGTATAGACTGTACCCAAAATGAATACTATTTTAAACCATACGTATGTAAAATGTTCCGGAGAATCGATTGACGTCGAGAAAACCGCAAAATTCTTGATAGTTTAGATGTTATTGTCGAATTAATATTTTTGCTATTTTTGTCTTTACCTGCGATTTTTTTATTTTTTTAACTATTTATCGCAGAACTATGATCTTTTTTTATAAGATAGGAAATTAAAAGTACTTTCCAACGGTACCAAACATAATACAGTTATCGAGATTAATTTTAAAGTTATTTATACTGAAAAAAACATCGTGAAAAGTGACAAGTGGCGATAGCTATGCCACGGGATGTACTTTAAAAATTTAAAAATTCAACTTGTCAATAAGTGACGTTAATATTTGACATTTTTATGTAGCCCAATCTACTCCAACAAAATTTTCCTGTACTAGTTTTTTGTGAATTTGATTGTATCTGCATACATACAGATATACATACATAAAAAAATTACTTACTTAATTACTTTATTTCAGAATTATTTATATTTTAATAGGAAACCAATACTCATCAAAGTTTCTGAATTGTCATTATTTATTGAGTTACTTGTTTTGTACTATTGTACTAACAACTTTTGAAAAAATCAATTGAACAAGACTTGATGGGTGCTTTAATTAAGTATACAGATTTCGGTGATTTTTTTATTCTTTCAAACTATGCAAAACAGTCGTTGTGGAATATACCATTTTAATGTACTGCAAATTAGGAAATTGCCTACATTTTTATTTAGGTGTAATAAATAATTGACTCACTTTACCAACAGAAGCTGCATCCAACCGTCCTGTCCCTAACAAATTAATATAAATTGGATTTACTGAATTTTCCAACAAAATAAGTAATGTTGTGCGATTTTTACGATTATACAAATACCAGGGCAGTTCCAGTAACTTATCGAAAATTTTTCCAGTCTAGAATTACAGTTAAATAAAATTATACTTTTTTCTGATTTTTACCATATCTGGGATTTGTAAAAATAGTTCTGTGAGGTGTATTGTTATCGAAATACTTGTTGTAAAAAAAGAAATCGATCGGAGATTAGCTTTCCAATCATCACTGAGCGAAAAAGACTGAAATTTGATTAATTAAGTTTGTTGTTTTAATTTTTATTCTTACATTGATGAAGAAAAAAATCATTGAAGTGTTAATAATGATCAGCATGTAAACCTCAGCTTGGAGAAGCCCCCAAAACGTCTTGATAACTTTTTTAATAAATCTAGAATTTTACTAAAATTACTCAATTGCGAAAACTGTTTCTACTTACGTAGTTAGGGACACGTGTCGTATGACTACAATTCGCAATTTTTCTGCAACAAACTCTTGATTCGTTTCTAGATTTTTCATTTCGCTAATGCAGTGTCCTAAGAGCAATAATTGGAATTTTACATTACCAATGGCATAAAATAGGCAACAGGCGATCGAAAACGACATCCAAGCCTGAAGAGGCAAATTAATCAAGAAAAAAAATTCCACAATTTTTCCAAATTTAGTAGGGAACATTTCTTTAATTAAGAAAATGTCTCTGTTATCACTAAACAACGGCGACGTGAACACAACTAAACTTGCCACCGAGAAGCCTGCGAAAAATACCGTCATTTTTGAAAAATTAAACTCTCTTAAAAATCTGTCGCGACTGGAGGCATTACAGATGTCCAAAGGCCAAATTAGCGAATACAATTCATTGTAATTATTTTCAATCGTTTTTTCTAAGGCTATGATAACAAATATTTGGAAAGTCATCTAAAAATTGATGATATTTTTTTAATTAATGGGAATTAGAACAACTTACAAAAAAGATGAGCCCCATTATGGGGAAGTAAGTTATCATAAGTTGCTTCTTATCGGAACTCCGTAGAATGTAAATGCATTGTAAAAATAGAAGAGAAATGTTGAAAATGAAGATCAAACGGCTGAATTTTTTCACTCGAGGATTGTGAAGCATGGTGTCAACAGTTAGCTTTTTAAGAATCCAAAATGGATCATCTGCAATTATTTTCTTAATTAGCGTTAATTAGTTTTAACTAAGTAATTACTTTTTTGAATGTATGACATGTTTCTATATTACTATTGGACACAAAAGTAATATTAAAAGAAAATTAACAAAGTTCTTAAGTATTTATTTAATTGAAAATCGATTTTGTAATCATTAGTTTATGTCTATTTGTCTAAGTTCATATTTAATAAACAATTATCTACGATATAAGTATCGAGAGAACAAGATAATTTGTAATCGGGTCACATCCTTGAATCCGAAAACGTATGTCTGGAAAACATCGAATAAAATGACAAGATGAAAGGTAAAATGGCATGGTCCAAAAGATATGATGATTTTAATAACTAAATTTATGATTTACCTTCAAAAAAGGACGGTCCTATTATCATACGTCGGCCATTCCAGCCCATTTTGCCGTTTTACCTTTCGACTTGTTATTTTAATTCACAAGACATGTCACAAAAAGCCATTTTTATATTAATGTTTCTTATTTTAAAAATTTCGTATAGACTGTACCCAAAATGAATACTATTTTAAACCATACGTATGTAAAATGTTCCGGAGAATCGATTGACGTCGAGAAAACCGCAAAATTCTTGATAGTTTAGATGTTATTGTCGAATTAATATTTTTGCTATTTTTGTCTTTACCAGCGATCATAGTTCTGCGATAAATAGTTAAAAAAATTTAAAATTTTTTTAACTATTTATCGCAGAACTATGATCTTTTTTTATAAGATAGGAAATTAAAAGTACTTTCCAACGGTACCAAACATAATACAGTTATCGAGAATAATTTTAAAGTTATTAGCGAAAATCGCCGAAAATTTTGACAAAAATCGAAAAAATTAAAAATTTCAAAATTGATCCAAATTCACTTCTAATGGTCCTAGAGGCTCAAATAAGTGCGAAAAGAGTTGTAGAAAGGCGAAAAATAAATTTTGTGTTATAATGAACATAATGGATTAGAGCAGAGACACTGCCCTGGGGCCTGGTGGAGCAGTGACATAAGGTCCTGCTTCCGGCAGGTAGGTCTGGGATTATATAAGTAATGTCATGTCAAACAGTATTTTGTGGAGAAACACAAATCACAAAAACTTTTAGAAAAACAATAATTTCTCTTAAGTCATTCCCATTAGATTCTGATAAAAATTTTCAAAAACGAATGAATGAACGAATGGACTTTTGTAGACTCATTTTTTTTAACTCATTTACTCAAACTTGTTTCCAAATTCGCATTATAATAACAGCCAAAAATTAAAGAATCGTAAAGGTTTATACCCGATTTAAGAAAGAGCTCTCACTGTTGCCATAACATTTTTTTGTAAGACAAAATAATGATTCGTTTGGAAATCTAATTTCACTTCTGCGTTTCTTTTTCAACCTAATTTAATATTGAAACGAAAATATTTCGTGTTTTTTTTTGTTTGATGAATAGGTGGAATTATAATAAACATTAAAACTATCAAAAACAAATAAATAAAAGCTTATGGTCGCTCTATAACATTTTTTTCACTTCTTGTAGCACTCATTTACTCATTCATTTTATTCGAAACATTACAAAACATTTTTTTTCTTAAATTTATTTATTTCAAAAAAGTGATCTGTTAGCGCATATTTTAAATGGGTTAAAATTTCAATTCAATTTCTAGATTTAAACCGGATTAAAAATTTGGTTTAACCTTTCATCTCCTTTAGGTCGTAACTCCGCTCCTTTTGATTTACATAAAATCCTTAATTTGTTTGCGCTTTGCTTTCACCACTTTGGTGTGATTTGGTGAATCAAAGTGATGGACATGTGTAATAAACACTGTCCAAAACGCCAATTTCCTAATTTTTTTCCAGTTTAGTGTGTCTGTTTTGCCCGAGAGCGTGAAGACGATTCAGTACAATCTGTACCCGTTGATCGCTGGCAGCGTGGCGCTGCCAAAACTGGTCCTGACAATACCAGAAAATTCCGGTGAAGTCCCCGGTATGCGGCAGGACCAGCTAAAATCCCTCGTCGAGAGATGCCTACCGACGCACCTTTACGTGATGGTAGGCCACTTTTTCGCTCCGACTAATTTTACCGAGTTTTTTTCAGCCGCAAGTGAAAGGCGCGCCGCAATTACCCGGTCTGGTGAAGCCGAGGAGACTAACAAAAATCAAATAATTGTTATACTGTAATGTTTTGAAATAAACGATCTTTCCCGTTATCAAGTGGAAAATTTGCGTCGGACGTCACAAAACTGCGTCATTTTTGCGACAAAGTCGTTTCATAATGGTCTAAAATTGGGCTGCATGCGGGCTTCCGCCAATACGCAACCTTGCTGCGTATTTTTACAGACAAATTGTGCACACGTGAACGTAGGTCTGCCGTTGCGATGTTTTTTAGTTCACTAATAATCGGGATTTGGACGATTTTCAACCCAAGTTATGATTATAGTCATAAATTAACCCATTGTTTGATTTCTCATGTGTTATTTTTAATTGTTTGGAAGTGCGTAAATTAGGACCTCTAAAATAGCGCATCCATCAATATTACCCGAAAATAACCCTAGCGCGAGTTTGTGGGTGGACAACTTGACATTGCTAGCATAGCAACAAAAATAGGTTTCAATAATGGCATAAGCTGTAAATAAATTAAATCGTTTTAATGTGAGTAATAAGCTCTAATTCCATCAACAGTGGCCAATAAAAAAAAACTTGCGGCCACGTCTCATGTTTTCATTGTTTACTATTCCGGTCCAAGTGTAACAACAATTTTATGACTTAATCAAATTTTTATGTGTGGATATGAAAAATTCAGATTTTTAGTCATAAAACCGGACGCTGATTCGCATTAATAATAACCATCAACTGGTGCATTATATCTGTTAACGGGGCTCAACTTTTGAAGCTGAAAACTATTATTGGAAGCAATAAATCATTGATCAAAAAAATTTCCACAATTGTTTTTATTTTCACAAGTTTCTGTTTAAAAACTGGAGATTTAAGTGCGGTAATGAAAAAAAATACTTACTTTTTGATACTTGATTTTGAAGTTCGCTCAAATTTCTAAATATTAACCCGAGGAGCCGTTAACTTGATGTGTACAATTCCAATAAAATTCCACCGAAATTCCTATTATTCCAAATTAATTCATGTAATTCCGATAGTTCTAAGAAATTTTATGTAATTTTGAACAGCAATTATCTCCAATAATTCCAAAAAGAATTCCAGTAATTCCAAAAAAAATCTATCGAAATTCTAGTAATTGTAATAATCTATCGTAATTCCATTGTTTTCAAATTAATTCCTGTAATTCCAACTTAATTCCGATAGTTCTAAAGAAATCACCGTAATTTAAAAAAATATATCCTATAGTTCTAAAAAGAATTCCCGAAATTCACAAATAATGCCAGTAATTCCAAACAATCCAAAGATAATTTTAATAATTCCAAAACAAGCAATTTCGAATAAATTCCAAAACTTTGTACAACTTGTTCAAGCTCCTCGTATTAAAACCCAAAGTTATTATTCCAAATTAATTCCTGTAATTCTAACTTAATTTTCCTAATTCCAAATTAACTCCGATAATTCTAAAAAAATTAAAGTAATTTTGAATAAACTCCGATAATTCTAAAAAGAATTCCAGTAATTTCAGAAAAATTCCTGTAATTCCAAAAAAACTCCCTCGAAATTCCATTAATGCTAATAATCTATATATCGTAATTCCATTATTTTCAGATTAATTCCCGTAATTCCAACTTAATTCCGAAGAAATTCAACGTAATTTTCAAAATTTTTTTCTCCGATAGTTCCAAAAAAAATTCCCGGAATTCACAAATAATTTCAGTAATTCCAAACAATCCAAAGATAATTTTAATAATTCAAGCAATTTCGGTTAAATTCCAAAAAAATGGACAACTAGTTCCAGCTCCTCGTATTAATCCCAAGTTATTATTCCAAATTAATTCCTGTAATTCCAACTTAATTTTCGTAGTTCCAAATTAACTCCGATAGTTCTAAGAAATTTAAAGCAATTTTGAACAGAAATAATCTCCAATAATTCCAAAAAGAATAGCAGTAATTTCGGAAAAATTCAGTAATTCCAAAAAATCATCAAAATTCCATTAATTCTAATAATCTATCGCAATTCCATTGTTTTCAGATTACTTCCTAATTAATTCCTGTAATTCCAACTTAATTCCGATAGTTCTAAGAAATCCAACGTAATTTTCAAAAAAAATTATCTCCTGTAATTTCAAAAAGAGTTCCCGAAATTCACAAATAATTCCAGTAATTCCAAACAATCCAATGATAATTTTAATAATTCCAAATTCAAGCAATTTCGATTAAAAATCCAAAAATTTGTACAACTAGTTCCAGCTCCACGTGTATTAATTAACCCAAAGTTATTATTCCAAATTAATTCGTAATTTTCGTAATTCCAAACTAACTCCGACAGTTCTGAGAAATTTAAAGTAATTTTGAACAGAAATAATCTCCGATAATTTCAAAAAGAATTCCAGTAATTTCAGAAAAATTCCAGTGATTCACAAAGAATTCCTGTAAACCCAAAAAAATCCATCGAAATTCCATTATTTTTTTTAATCTATCGCAATTTCATCGTTTTCAGATTAATTCCTAATTAACCCAACTTAATTCCGATAGTTCTAAGAAATTTAAAGTAATTTTGAACAGAAATAATCCGATAATTCAAAAAATTCCAGTCATTCACAAAGAATTTCTGTAATTCCAAAAAAAACCATCGAAATTCCAGTAATATATCGTAATTTCATTGTTTTCGGATTAATTCCCAATAAAATCCTGTAATTCCAACTTAATTGTTCTAACAAATTCAACGTAATTTTCAAAAGGAATTATCTCCGTTAATTTCAAAAATAATTCCCGAAATTCACAAAAAATTCCACAAATTCCAAACAACCTAAAGATAATTTTAATAATGCCAAATAATTCAAGCAAATTAAATTACAAAAATTTGTTCAACTAGTTCCAGCCCAAAAGTTTCTAAATTCTAGGCCAAGGAAATCCAGGTCTCTAGTTATTCTTGAAACCCACAATGACATATTAAAATAAAATTGTTTTAATAACAAGGTGAAGAACAATAAATCCTGAGGGTCGGATAAAATCAGAGGTCTATAAACTTGGCTCCATTTTAATCAAAAACTGCCTTGAAAACAAACTTCCAATCAATCATCGCATTATACGAGCTTTTAATAGACACTTCTGGAAGCTAAATACTAATTAATTAAGCGATTTAAATTTTTAAACATTAAATAACATTCTCAAGACAGTTAATTAAAAAACTTGACATTTTTTTAAACTGAGTTAATAGGTCATTAAGTCAATACCGAGCAAAAATAACGCTAAAGCGCCAATATAGTAGCTCAGTTATTTTTGAAATAAAATTATGCAACCGAAGACTACTCATTACACTTACAAGTCGAGATCTATTATAAAAAGAAACAGTGGTTGAAAAAAGTGCTTTATTAAACCTATTTAAACTACAAACTTCTTGTTATCTCTTTTTTACAATTGTGTGAGTCAACCACAGGACGAGAGCACCTGAAATGGTCACCGCACTCCTGAAAATTTTCATGGGAATTACCCGCCAATTTCGGGGGAAATACTCACAAGAGAACGGCTTGGGTCATAGGCGAGTGTCTCAAGACGTTATATTGCTTTACTTGAAAATTAGGATTTGTTTTGAAAGTTTTGGAAATCTCTCGTGCGCTGCAAGCACAATAAAAGGCCTATAAAGTGCTAAAAATATTGCTAGTGTCTATAAAAATATTTGGCCACATTTCTGGCTGTTATTAATTAAAAACAGGTGTAATGAAATGAATCTTTGCTGGGCCAATTAGGTACAGCACAGTTCAATTAACACCAAGGTAACCTAGATGATAAAATACTCACGCCCTGAAGTTATCAACAGCGACCAAAAGTCGGTTTCCCCTCGGTGATAGTTTTTTGATATCAACAAAACCGAATGTGCTAAGTGTGGACATGAGCTGCAACGAAATTGAGAGTCCAAATAGAAAACATGCGAAAAGTGTAAATATAGCTTAGGAAGGTCTCTTCCAAGGCATATTTTTAGCGAACAATTTCGGTGGTTATAAAAATGCGTGACATTTTCCAACAAATAATGGGATACGACTTATGATTGGCAAAAGCACAACTATTAAACACGCTTTCGAATTTGTATTGTCTACATAAATTATCCTATTTCTGTCGGTTTTTGTTATTAATTGGACACTTACATCACTCACGTCGAGCGGTTCGTTTTTTAAGGACTCGACTATTAACCAAGGGGGCCTCCTGGAAGTTGGATCCTCTCCATCGATTTTCTTTAATGTGAAACGTATTATTAATTGTGGGATTAAAATAGGACACCATATGATAATTAATCGCCGAGAATATGTAAATCAATAGACCAACAGTGCACCCAAAATAGTAACCTTGACTCAGGCCTGGAGATTATAATTTATAGAAAATATTACGATTACGTTGAAACACAAATCTTTGACGGAAACGATAAATTCTTTTTTTATATCGAAAAACATCCTATTATTAGGCCCACAGATAAAGAACCAATTTTATAAAGTAACTACAGTTCAAAAGCCAAAAATTTTAATTAAACGTCAAAAGCATTTCGGATTCTTCCTTTGCTCAAATAATTACTTTAGATAGTTTATTGACAGGGCCTAGACTGCGGTTTCCACAACCTTGTTTGTTGCTATTATTAATATTTGCGTCGCCACTTGATAATTTATTACACTGTCTGTTACACAAAAAATGTGGTATAAATAAGATTTTTGTCTTTTGTCCCAAACGCTTCAAGTCCAAGAGTTGACCTTTACCTAACTTGAGATCTCTATTGAGAGAACATTTGCTAAATAATTGTATTTAGCAAATGTTCCTGTCTGTCAAATTCCACGCCAGTTCTATTAATTCATCATTTGACTGTAACTGTTTTCAGTCCAAAAACATAAAAAACGAGTTCCAATTCCAATTTTACGATTTTTCTTCTTCTTGAAGTTTTTATTTATAGTCAGAAATTGAAGTTTTTATTTATAATAGTCAGATTTTTTCTAATTCTCAAAAATTCAAATTCAAATTTAACTCCAGTCCAGAAAAAAATCTGTTGCTCTCTTAAAATTCTTCACTATTATAAGTCTTAACTAAATTCATATTCCCAACAACGATGAAAAATTTTCAAAATTGAACTAACTTTTGAATGGTGTACTATAGTATTGAATACATTATGCTATACAGGGTGGCTCAAAAGCAAACCGCCAGACGACAACCATTAGTGACAGAAAATGTCATTGTGAGAAAAAAGTTTAAATATTTTTTTCTCTATCTTCACTTGTTAGTTATATAGGGTGCGCCAGAACTCGCGACCCAGAGAAAAATGCCATATAAGGTAAGATACCAGAAACATGGAAAAAAATGTTAAAAAAATTTTATCTATAAAAATTTCGAAGTTATGAGAGTTTAAAGTTTGCACTTTGACCCTATTTATTTCTGTTGGAAAAACGATTTCCCAAGTTTTTTTGCTATAGACTATTAAAAGAGGAGACAAGGAAGCTGTATCCTAAATTGTAACTCTGTTCAATGTTATTTGTGGCTTTTATTGGCAAAATTTTTGTTTCTTTACTAAATAATTGAAAAAAAAAACATACAAGATCATCAGTGTCATTAAATAGATATAAAAAAATGTCAAATGTCAAAAAATATGTCAAAATTTTCTGACAGATAAAATTTTTTAAACTTTTTTTATGTTCCTGGTATCTTACCTTACTTGAAAATGTTCTCTGGGGCACGAGTTCTGGCGCACCCTGTATGTAGTTCAGCAAAGAGTATCAATGAATTTTGTGATTAATTAAAAACACTGACATTTATGAAACAATTGCTTAGTTCTAAGTCTCATTTAATTGATACGGTCAGTGTGACATAAACATGAACATGAGTTCGAAAACGATTTATGTATAAGATAAAAAAATGGAAAAAATAAGAATTAAGTAAAGAAATAAAAACTACAATGTATGTATGTACAATGAATGAGACTTGAAGCTAAGTAATTGCTTCATAAATGTTATCGTTTTTAATTTATGATTTGTACAAAATTTGTTGTTAATTTTTGTTAAGTTGTATCTTTTTAATGAATAAAGAAAAAAGAAAAAAATGTTTAACCTTTTTTTCTCAGAATGACATTTTCTATCATTGGTTGGCGTATGACGGTTTGCTTTTGGGACAGCCTGTATAAATTTTGATGTTATGTTTTGTATATTTCGAGTTTTTATTTATATACACTAATTTCGATATCTAAATAAATATTTTTATTTAAAACTGTCCATTTGGACGTAAAAAAAACGAATCTTTTATACTAGTATTTCTATTTGGAATGTTTTATCTGTATCAAATTTAGGGAATTTTACGTCAATTGGTGAGACGTAGCTTATTTCGATACCAAAACCGATGCTGAAATAGACTACAATTTACTTTCTAGAGGTTGGTAATTGTAATTTTCAGTGGCTTTTTGAGGGATTTATCTTTTTTCAGGTAGTGTGCATGAAATATTTGCAGTATTCATTGTTAATTCAACAAAATTTTGAAAAATACTTGAGACTTGGAACTTCGAAAATCGAACTATGTGACCAACCACAACTTTATTAGAAAAAAGTTCCTAATTTTTGAAAAATTGACTTGTATGTTAAAAGAGTACGTAAAATGAGCAAAATAGAAAAAAATGTACAAAAAAACTTGTTTCATAAGTCATTTGTAGGAACTCGTACCACAAAACTTACCTTACGAAACAGTTCTTTAATATACTATTACCTAACGTGCTTGGAAAATACAATTTCCCACATGAGCAATCTGCGGTCGTGCTGCATGAATTGCAAATGTGGGAAATTGTTTTCCAAAAAAGTGTGGTACAATATTTTCGTCACAAATATGTAACTGAAAAAAATTAAAATAATTTGTCATAATTTAGTTTGTTTTGCTGAAGGGTTGGCGACATGTTAAACTGTCACCTATTCTGAAATAGAATCTGGGTCAAACTATCCCCAAGAAAGGAGCAAGAAGATTGAGAAAAATAGATCAGAGCTAAGATTCTACTATTTTTGATTTTACTAACGATTTTTGTTATAAAAATGACGCATAAAAATTAAATAAAAGTTTTCGTTTTATACGATTAATATTAAACATTCTAGTTAACGATTTACTCAAATGTAAACTCTTGCAATATTTTCCAATTTCTCGTATTATAAAGTTTTTATTTATTTTTCAAATAATACTCACACGAAAGAGGAGAAGAGTTACTTTTATTACAAGTGCCCAAAATGCAATCGTTTCCGGACGAGGTGAAGCTTTTAATTGAGTCCAAAAAAGAAACTCATTTTGTAGAGTTAAATGAGTCCGTAAAATAGCTATTTTTGGGAGCGTATACACCAAATGTGTTGTCAGTTCCAATTTCTTTTACACTAAATATTATTTAAATAAATAACACTTCACTCACTTTATTTAAATAAGAAATTCTTTCACTAAAAGTATACCAGATAAAGCAATTTAGATCACATAGTAGGTAGCCCAAACAAGTGCTGCAAATGTGGTTGACCAAGAACAAGGTCAAAAAATGACCAGTTTCTCACCGATTTTACTTAAAATGAAAAATTCATATTATTTAAACAAAACCATTCGAAATTCGCTCCATTTTAAAAATTGTTGTCGATTTCAATAACAGAACCGGAGTTCATTTTTCCCATCTTTCTGCAGCGTAACACGGATGCATTTACCTTTAAATACTTTGTTTATAAGTGCACAACTGGTTGATTGATGTATTTCACCACGCGTCTAAATTCAAGAATCAAAAGCTTTCCCGCAACGAGAATAACTCAATCATGATTCACGCCCCGATTTAACAAAATTTTGACAATTACCAAATGGTGTCCAATCCATACTTACAATGTGCGAAGCTGCCCCTCTAATAACATTAACTCGATTTTTGTACTCCGACAGTCCGCTCATAACTTCCCCAAAAACGAACGTTTTCGACTTGGGATAATGCTGGGAAAGGTTGAAGTAACCCATCCTGAGAAAAATATACCCGGCACAAAACGAATCCCACCCTGCTTCGTGATAACAATCAAATTTTTTTTTATCAACATTGCACTCAATTGCTGTACTGTCCAAAACCAAGTGGCGCCCTAACCCGCCCTTAAAATACTCAAACAGGGCTGCTAGACTAGTGTCATCCGGAAGTTTCTCCCTCGGAATGGTTGGTCTCAATTCGTAATAAACAGTTTTTGTGTCGAAAATCGTGGGGAAGAGTTGGTGGGCCAAAGCTTTGTATTGCGAGTACGACTCTGGTAACGTATTGTGGAAATTATTTATCAGTATCATCAGGTCTTGGAGGACATTGTGGCCAATTAGCGGCTTTTTTAGAGCCGTCAGAGTGTCAAAAACGTGTTTGAAACCTATCAAATCGTTCAAGATGTTGTCATCAAGGGGGCACCGCTTTACCAAGTCATTAAAATCACCATCTGAGACTTTTTTAACACAAAAAATGCCGTTCTGTTCGTACGTCCACAAGTTTTTGAAACGCTTTCGCAACTGCTTGTGGATAAAATACGGCAATTCGTAGAAATGCCCAAATGTGTTGTACACATCTGGGATTTCCAGAAAGTCGCCAGTTTTGCAACTATTGTACCATTTAGAGATAATTGGGGTGTAGGTTTTTAAGGCCTCGTCGAATTCGTGCCGTAAAGTGCAATTTTCCCCAACTAAATCGCCCGATTTCAACTTTTGTTTCAAATCATTGGCCTCCTTGGTGTTTAAAAAAGGTATACCTGAATAAGCAAACTACAAAAAATATACCAAATGACTCGTTTCGTAATACCTTATTAAAATCAAACTTGTACATGGTTAAAAAGCTCAGTGTGCTAGCTTGGAAGTAAAACGACTTGTCTACGTCCCCAAAACATGCCGGGGCCACATAAAACGTGAAAACCTCCCCGAAATAATCACCAGTCTCATTATCGAAATGAAATGCAGTTATTCCGACTTGCACAGGGATTACGTTAAGTAAGTTTAGGCGCAGTTTGGTATATCTCGCCTTATTATCATCAAACAGCCTAAAATTTTTCAGTAATGAGCGGTTTTGAGGTTATGTGCGTTACCTTGGGGCTTGATGTTTCACAGGTTGTAAAGCGCTGAATTCCAAATCGATTGAGATAAATTTTGCTTTTTGTAAACTTCTTTTTATTTCAGGAAGCTTTTGTTTGAAATTATTTTTAGTCACTTCACACATTTTTCAACTAACATTTAAAAATACACTAATCACGTGCTTGCTTCCTCGTTTTAGCTCAGCTCTGGTGCGTATTAACCAATCAGGATTTAGAATTTGCCATCAAGACGGTCGGATTTTGATTTGATTGGCTCACACAAGGCGCCATTGTTGTACTTAAATTCAAACGCTCGTTTACTGAAATTTTGTTAAAAATAAAAAATCTTACAATAAAATTAAGTTAAATTATCTTTAAACTCTATCTTTTGTACTACGTCAATATTTTATTTCTTAAAAAAAAATTACATGGTGTTAGAAAAGATTCCGACAAAAAATAGGTCAATGGGACAGTCATTGTGTTGACATTAAATGTAAAACGGCCCTTAGATAGTAACATCACTTTAAATACAACATGTCACTGATTTTTGACATTTTGGTGGTTTTAAAAAGTCAAATTTGACGTTAAAGCCTGCTTTACAGTAATTTTCAGAAAGTGTCAAAATTTTGATGTCACTTTTGAACATATTTATTTATGATGAAAAGATAGACGATTTTTGCCTCCTGTTTAGATCCCAGGATCGCTGAAAAACACTTCAAACTTAATTTGATGCGGTTCTGAATACCTCTATTAATATGTATTTCAAAAATAACATAAATCGCTGCTGAAAATTTTGTACACGTGGTTGATATAAATAATTATTTGTGGCGACGTTTTATCGTTGTGTTTTTTTATTGACAGTTGAATTTTTGACATATTAAAACTGGCACTTTTAGAAATAGTTTTAACACTACGAATTATACTTTGGGATCAAAGTAGCTTGTACTTAAGTTGGCAACATTATCGGTTTTCATATCTTCTCTCGCTTTGTTCAATGCTGCCAATTTAATTCTAAAAACATGCGCTACTTTGATTATTAGCGCTATTCTTGCAATAGTTGAGTAATAACACTAATTTTTGAACCAGAAATTGTGGCTTGTAATTGTCAGATTGGACGCAGAGCATTGCCAAGTTGGTAAAAAAGATTTATGTATTACTACAAACTCATAAAGATATTTTAGAAGTCTTTGTTTATTTAATTTATTTTCGAATTCTTTTATTTCGTTACAGAACATTTCGTGGTTTCGTTTGATTTTTTGTGTTTATTTTTTTCAAAAAATTGAAATTGATACCAAGAATTGTGACTTATCAAATTTGAAGAATTTCAGCCGCAATATTTTGCCATTAAAATTGAAGTTAAAGAAGCCAGACGTTCAAAGATAAACTAAACGTAAGTTTAGTGGTCGTTAAACGAAAATACGAAAATATAATTTCTAACACAAAACGACAAATGTGCTTAGACATTTCGAACACCAGTAAACATAATCACGGAACACACTCAACATGGGCGAATTGGAGCGAATGCCTCATTAACCTTTTTTAATGGATGCAGGGTACTCAAATTTTCTATTACAATAATCTATTTCGTTTTCTATTTTTCAAAATAATTCAGTAGAAAAGGGTTTGCTATTATCTTAGATACTTCAAAACGACAAAACATTCTACATGAATTTTTTTTTCATTCAAAGATAAAATACGAAGAATTATTTTTCAAAACTCAAGAATTTGAAATATTTTAATATTTAATGAATTTTTTTAATATTTTGTTTTAAAATTTTAAAACAACACTTTTTATTGCAATATACAATCATACATTAACTTCCGTATTTTTTACTGTTATTTACTTTATCTTTTCTTTTGTACTACACAATAAATGATATTGTCAAAACTAATAATACTAATAATTACTAAGAAAGATATAGTTTTTTTATTAATAGATCAAAGATTTTTTGTTCTAAATAATAAATTCAGGTAGAACAGAGAAGAAAAAAATAGTTTTTTTGCGTAATTCCATGATGTTTTTAAGTCCCGTGATAACAAAAAAACTTCTTTAATGTTTTTATGTGCTTAAAAGTTGCACTAAAATGCTTGTTAATTTTTTTGATAAATTTACAATAACTGAATGGGTAATTAATTACAATTTTGGTGGATGCGCCGGTTCAATTACATAAGAATTTTAGGTATTTTTATTGTGATTAGTAATAATTTATTTTTACTTAGGTAAGTAAAAATATTTTTTTTTCTAGGTTAGTCGCTATATCTACTTTGCCTTCAATTACGTTTCTGATCAAAGTAGCATGTGCTTTTAAAATTTATTAGCAGAACAGGACTTAAAATAAATTAACGAAGATGGCTGGGCTACTTAGTAGATGTGTGTTTGCAAATATTTAAACAATTTTGTGATATATTTAATTAACAAGTTGCAAAAATAAAGATAAGAAATTTGAAAAAGAAGTAATGATCATTGGTGGTGACAAGAAAAAAAAATTGGAGATGCCGGGGATCGAACCCGGGGCCTTTCACATGCAAAGCGAACGCTCTACCACTGAGCTACATCCCCGATGCTGAAGTGGTTTCCGTAACATGTGATATCAGTCAAACATAATTTGCAATTTATAAAATATTGAAATATTGTAATAAACGGCTTAAAGACTTAAAAAATAATTCACATTTATAAACTAAATTGAAAGCTTAATGCAATTAAATAAAACAAGTACTTTATTTTGGAAGCTTCATTAAATTTAGAAATGAAAACAAACATTACAATAATGCAAGCAAAAAGTTAACAAACTATCAATTAAAATTTCTTGAAGATAAATAAATTTCAAACGTTAAAAAAATGAGTGGAAAGTCTTTTACTCTTTAAGATAATAAACATACAAATCATTAAACAAACATCACGAATTTTTGATTTTTTTATAGAAAAAATAAATAGACATCATATCGGTACAAAGTACGGTTTTATTTCATACCAACCTCCAAAAATATATCACATACAGCGTAATTTTTGGTATTTTTTTAATAAACACTCAACTTACGTGTTTTTTTCTTAGCCTGATGCTGATTGTCATTTGTGCGAAAGAATTTCAATAATCGCACATCGCAAACTCGCAAATTGGCAAAGTCTGAAACAGTTGATGAAAAAATTGAAATATTAGAAAATGATGACAATGCACGAGTTGCAAACTGAGTCTATTTTTAATGCGGCAAAATCTCACAAATTTTTGCGCCCACGTTTCACTAGCAAGTACGTATATTTAGATGCTCCCATAAACTTGCTACTTTCATAATTTTATATGCAATTTTGTGTTAATGGGCCACTTTATATCAAAATTAACGGATTCTCACTGCGAGCCCATATAAATGATTTCCTTATTACCGCCGCTTTTACGACCTCTGCTTGAAAAATCAATCATTGTGATTTTTGCAAAGTGTGTGATGATGGATGCATGTTATCTGCAGGGCATGTGTGGCCCCAGTTCTATTTTAGTAATTTGGAAATTGCGGCGGGAGAAATGTAAAATGCGAGCGCTTAGGGGAGGCCAGAAGGCCCGGGTTGGCACTTTGCCCATGGACAGCGTCCCCGACAGGTAGCTACCGAGCTTATAAAAGCCCCGACAAACTGAATCCGGCGCCCGTTCGTTTAGCAGCTTAGTATACACGTTGCCGCACTTATCCATGGGGGCCTAACGACTCGTGTTAGTTTTTATTTATAATTTTAAATCGTTAACTGCACAATAAGTGATACAACTGGGACCACAATTGTGATAGCGGTAAGTTCTAGTGAAGTGCAGTGCCCCTCAAGGATTACCCCTGCTTGGCGGTAAAAATTCGATCAGTTACGTAAAAAATCCACACAAATTCGGGCCTTGCCAAAACTATTCGAACAGGCGTGCTAAAATCGTCCGCTAGCGTGTTGGCAATACGCCCAGACCCGGGCTGTACCCACTGGTCTAAAATAAAACCCAACTTTTGCACTAATGACGCATTTAAATCTTCCACTTTTTCCATAAATCGCGGATGGCTGTTTTTATTTGAACTTGGCGCGTCGGCGTCCACCAATCAGCGTCGTCCACATGCCGATTGTTTGACGAACTGTCAAAAGAGAAAAGTCAGGGTAGCATGCATGACGTTTATTTAATTCGTTTTGAGTTCAACCCACGATTTTAATCGAATTTTCGACAAAACACGCGGTTTAATTCGGGTAAAGTGAGGTTAGAAGTGGAAAAGCGCCTGTCACGCTGCGCAGCTCGCGAACGTGGCTCACTCAACTCCCGGTAATGAGGCTGTAATTCACGGACTTTACGATAGTGTGGTTTGCTGAGAAAATGCTGGTGTTGTGCGAATCATTTTTGGTGAAACATTGAGTTTTTTTGCGTTTTTCACGTTCCCAGAACGGTTTTCCTCTCGACGAGTTTTAGGTTATAAACCACGTAAATATTTAATAGTTGATGCACGTTTCCTGTGTGGTGAGTAAAACTTCATTAAATGGGTTAATACGTCACTACCGTTAGCTCGCACTTTTCTGCAAATCTAACATCAACACATGTTGAAGGTTATTGACTTTGTCCTTAGTGAAACAAAAATTTTCGACATTTTAACCTCACTTTTGGAACAATTGAAGACTTTCCCTTTGCAAAACGTCAAACACTAAAGACAGATTTTTTGCAGAAGTGACTGACAAACACCATGGAGGACGCACACACCAAAACGGTGGACGAAGTATTAAACTATTTTAATACCGACCCAGAACGGGGGCTCACCTTAGATCAAGTTAAAAGAAACCAAGAAAAATATGGACCCAATGGTAAGCCAACTTTTAACACAATTCCTGATAAGCAATTGTTTATGTTAGAGAAGAGATTTTTTATACGTTTATTACCCGAGATGCGTAGCATCGAAGGAAATAATAAATGTGAGGCTATAAAAGTCTTCTTTACCATGTTTTATATAATTTCTTTTCACTATTAGTACACTTATTACCCAGAAATGCAACGATGAAGAATATAACCCTACATAATGGACATGTTGCCTCAGACATAACATCGTAATTCACAATTATTATTATTTTTTAAATTTATTTATTAAAACCTACAGTAATTAATTACTTTATTCTTATCGTAAATAGAGTTATTTTATTTTTTACTTGTCCATCTATTCAACGAATTTTCCAACTACATAAGATCAAATATTTGTTAAAATAACATAAAAATTGGTAGTATTTTAACATGAAAAAAGCCCGTTTGTTGTTTTGACAAAGAAAGAAGAATTAGAGGTGGGGTTATTCTGATGTTTTTTTAATGAGGAAGTTGAATTCTTTTTTATTTAATTTTGCTTCGAAATACCTCCATTAGTACTTGTGGTAACAATAGTTTCAAATAATAATATTCTAGAAATATTTGTATCAATGAAGTACCCTCCAATATCGTTGTTACCTCTAATCTCTAATCCATTATTGCCCTTGGTCAATAATGAAAATTATTATTGACCAGTAGGAGAAAAAAACAACTCTCGACAAACTAAATAATGGTAACTTTTACAGCTAGTAGTGAAAAAACACGATTTGGACTTAATTCTCATAATCTTGAATAAATATTTTTTATTCAAAAGTTCTCGCTCAGTTTGGCCTCCGTTCTACAGTATGTCCCCGGATTGCGTTTACAAGAGGAAAAAAAATATCTTTGATTTTACGCCAAAACTGCAAAGAGAAAACATTTTTTGCTTTATCTGAAACGAGCAAATCTGTAATTAAAACTACATTATTCTAACTCAGTACAAAGAAAAATTCATTCTTGGTTTTGGACTTAAAATATTTTTTTTCTGTTTTTAAGTCCAATCACAGTGGCGGTTTTATTATTTTAACAATGATGTGTCTTTGACAAATGAATTTACGCAAGTTAAATAACAAAAATGTTTGTGAAAAACAAAATTTTAATAAATAGGAACTCAGTCATTTTTAACAAGAACTTTCATTTAATTAATAAATTAATTGTCATAGTGACATATAGTTGTCAAATAAATAAAACCGCCAATGTGATAGGACTTAAAAAGCAGAGAAAAATTATTCTAGTCGAAAATCAAGAGAAAAATCAACTTTTCTTTTCACTGAATTAGAATAATGAGGTTTTAAATACAAATTTGCTTGTTTGTGAAGCAAAAAATGTTTTTCCTTTGCAGTTTTGGCGTAAAATCAAAGATAAAAAAAAATCCTCTTGTAAACTCAATCCGGAGACATACTGTAGGTCTAAAAATACTGTTGGGTAATATTTAAAATAACTCGACTTGTGTGAGTTATATAATAAAAATATGATTGACTTTTTTGTGTACTGCGAAATTAATTAACTAAAAGCTACATGAAGGTTGAGATGATTACAGCGACCGGAACAATATAAATTTAATATTCGCACATTTCCGCAACCATTATTTTGCTATTGGTTGTAAAGAATTTTTCTGGTTGTGTTAAAAATAGATAAGCAAGGGTTTGCATTTTAACATAGTTACATGGTCGGAGAATTTATTGGCCGCGCCATATGATTTCAGTTACAAATAGATCAAAGTTAAAATGTGTTCGGGTTAATGCAGTTACAAATAGGATTATTTAATTTTATTATTAACTCTGGCGCGGCGCTTCTGTTGTCATTAGAAGCGAAAATCTCAAGTACTGAAATGTGTTTTTTATTTTATCGCAATCGATGATTCGGGAGTTTTCTGTTATGAGTAGGCGAATTTTAAAAATTCAGGTTGTGAGTTTTTAACTTTTGAAAGAGATTAATTTGTTGTTAAGAAACGTTGCGTTGGATGAATTTTTATTTGATTGAAACTCATCAAGGATTTTGTTTCGACATGAACAAGCGCCAAGATAAGACTTTGATGAATAATCCAAACTTTAATTTATAGGAATTTCTCTGGTTTATGACGAAAAAATCACGATAATTGTTTTTTTGCAAGACCATTATATTATCTGATAACGTATCTAATAACTATTATTATGTTGTTAGGTATAGCAGACATATTATTTTAAAGAAAATTGTTTCGTTTTTTATATTCCTGAGGTGCATTTATTTCTTATAGAACAATGATGTTTGTGTAGATAAGTCGCGTGTAAATTTAAATAATTTCTTAGTACAACCTTAAAAAATTAACAATTAAACGGATACCGCATTCCACCACGTGTTTGTTTTAAAAGAGAACAATTTTTTAAAATTTATTTATGATTTAATGAAATAATTATGGTTATAATTTTAAAAGTGGTAAGTGAAAATAATAATTTTCAATACAATTGAACATTTTTTTAAATTGGCCATTTTGTGAAACATTAGTTTAAAAAGATGGTAAAGTAATTTTTTAACGACATGTTAATTTGGTGAATCAGCCTTTGTAGTTGTGCAACCTTTTGGAATTTGAAAAATGTATTACGTTTGTGTAACATTGTGAGAAAATGGCACGAACCTTCATTTTGTAGAATTTTTATTATTCATAAATACGGCCATATATTTATAATCCAGCTATTAAAATCGGCCGCAATGTTTGATTTGTTCAAGGTGTAGTGACGTGGTGCAAATGCAGAGTCGGACACCGTAATAGTTTCTCCTCGGTGTTACGCATTCTCTCTAGTGGATCAAAATTAATCTCTTGACGTAAGCGTTTACATTGTGAAGGAGAAGCGCACACATGTGTCCATTTTTACGATCGGTTTTACTGTCGTTTGCTTTCCCTTCCTGAAATACACAAAACGGTTACACATCTGAGAGAATTCAGTTGACTTCTGGACAAATTTTTTGTTTACGACTTGATCCCCGATTAGTATCGATTTGGCATCCTTCAGAGGCACAAAAACGTATTTTTACTGGAGCAGAAGTGTAATTTCTGAGAAAATTTTGATCTCCGCTTTCAAATAAATTCTAATAAGAATTAATTCTAAGTACAACATTTTAATCTGAGACACAACCACAATTTGCACATAAATAACACTGCTGCGTTACCAACTGACGCAAAATAATAAGTGCACAATAGAAAAAAAACAGAAACCATTCAAACAATCGTTTGTTCAACTCGCCGCTACGCTGCTCGTATCCAAATTTCAACACTTCCTGTAACTCTTATTTTAATAAAATTGCACTTTTATAGTTAATTTCTTTTTTGTTTGTATAATATCTACGAACATAAATAAACTATTAAGTATTAAAAAAATATGTTTAAATGTCGTATTTGTTTACTTGTAGCGGGCCGGTTTAATATTCAAATTAGCAAAAAATGTACAAATCGATATTTTTGCATAAGGTTAAATCTGTCGACTTTCATCAAATTTGGTTTATTTCACGGTTATTCGTTTTGTATTGTTGCAAAAATGGGATCAGTCGTTATCAAAAAAACACAGATTGGACTATTAAAATTAAATCTGGAGGATTTATCGATTTATTGGACCTAAATACCGCTTTAAATAAATTAAATTATAACTACCAAATAATTTACAGTTAAATATTCAATTTGCGTTTATTTGCGTCATGTTTGGAACGTTGCTAAAAAATCGTAATCTTTACATTCATTCGGTGACACGAATCGCAATATAATGCAAATGTGAGTTGTAATTTATGAGAATGAATTGAAAAAAAAGTGTTACGCTGTTATTTTACATCTGAGAGGATACATTATCACAGTTTTGCGATAATTATAATTGGGTGCCATTGATTTTTAATGACGTAGATGGTACGTCAGAGATGTGACGTTTTTTGTTGTTGGCCTTGGAGTGTTTATCTTTGAATATTGTTATTGTAAAATGGATTAAGAAAAGTCAATCGGAACGGATTTTCATGAAATATGTTTTTAGAATGTTGTTAATAAAGTGAAGGGAACACAATTACTTGATTATTCAAAATTTATGTCGTACATTATAAAATTATACCAGGTGAATAAAAAGTATGGAACCAAACGTTTTTTGCTTAAACTATTTATTTTTTGAAAAAACTAATTGATGAGTGATAAAGTACTATAAAAATGTGATGATTTAACAAGAATAAAATTTTTCGAAATTTTCTTTTGTTTTTGAGTTCTACAAAAAAAAATATTTTTTTAAATGGCAACCCACTATAAAATCATTTTTCTCATAAAAGCTATACTCTAAGGATCATAACTAACTGCTTTATATTTAATTTTTCCAAAAAATTTTTTTCACATAAATTGCAATTTTGACAAAAAAAATCGCATAACTCAAAAACAAAACAAAATTTCGTTCTGAAAATAATTAATAAATTAATTTATATTAATTATTATTTTCTGGAGGCAAATGATTAAAAATAAAACCGCTTGGTTCCATACTTTATATTCACCCTGTACATGTTGATGAACAAAAACACGATTAGCCCGTCACACCAAACTTTTATTTTAATAGCACAACGCGTTTCGACCACAAAGTGGTCATCCTCAGGTGAGAATAAAACTAACTAATTTAACAATGGTAATGCCTTATATACTAATTTTCCGACTTTCACTTTCCCTACCCTCAACTAACGAGTAGAGGGGAGAAAAGGGAATGGGGCCGTTGTCTGAATTCATGAGATTATCTCTATTTTTAAATATTTCAAGACTCTCGAAAGCGTCAAGAAATCTACAATTATTGACTACTCTAATGATTTTTACATTAGTTTCATCTATTTTATGGTCTTTTTCAAAAATATGTTGGGCCACACTTGATTTTTCAAATCTGTTATATCTTAAATGAGCTATGTGTTCTTTAAACCTAGTGTTAACTGAACGACGTGTTTGCCCAATATATTTTTGTTCACAATCTTTACAATTAATTTCATAAATCCCCGATTTTTCTAATGGTCCTACTTGTGTTGAGGTAAGGAAATACTAATTATTTTTTTTTTGTTACAGAACTTCCAGCGGAAGAAGGTGAGTTGAAGCAACAAGTCCCAATATAATCAATATCGATGACACACTATGAATTGTGGAAAACATGTTCCTTATTTATTTAGACGATCGATTTTAATACAATATCTAAAATTTTAAACAAAGGATCAGATAACACGTCATCTTCGTGGCCATTTAAATGGAGCTAATTATTGCCCAGTCAGGTTTAGCAAATAATTGTCAAGGTGTTTTTTGCCACGTGTAATAATTAACACTTGACATTTTCGGAACATTATAATGAGCACTGTAAAGTTTCAGTGTACCGTGAAGAGCAAACCTGAGTCGCTGATTATTTTATACTTTCAAAATGACTTTGAAATTAAGTTGGCAACATGAATTGTCATTTATTTCTGACACCACAGTAATTCGGTGTTGCCAACTTAATTTCAAAGTCACAGAAATTTATTTGAAAGCTAGTATTAGTTTTGGACTCGTTCTGAATCAATATTCCTCGTTCCGCGATCTAATGGTTTTTTAAATAAATTGGGGGCGATGAAGGGGTTGATTGTAGCTTATTGTCTCTCATGTTGGTATTTATAGTCGAGTGGATGGAAGCATTGTTTCGTGAAATCGTTGTCGAACGAGCAATAAAATTTTTTGACATTTCCTAATAATCCTAATTTATTTGTCGCGGCACTCAGAAGCAGACCTGAGTGGTTTTAATTTTTTCTTTGAGGGTCCTCTAAGCTCTACAACTCGACCTAAATGTGGATTCAAGCCCAGATGCAGCTTGGCTGCGCGTGACCGAGTGGTTTGCACAAAGTTCGGACTAGGAAAAACTAATCAAGTGGCAATAAAACCGGCCGAGAGATAATTTTAAAGCTTTATTAATTGGCCACGTTGAGGTTAAATAAACAAAAACAGAGCTTATTGCAAAACTGTGACATGAAGTTTACAGTATAGATTTTTTGCTCTGTTATTAATCTTGTTTTTTTCGCGTGCCATGTGGTCAATTTCATTTGCTGTTGTGTTTATGTAAACGATTTTTTTTCTTCTGCAGGAAAGTCCATTTGGCAATTAGTTTTAGAACAGTTCGATGATCTACTAGTCAAGATTTTGTTGTTGGCCGCCATTATTTCATTCGTAAGTATTTGATTTATTGAGTTATCGACCGGTAAAAGTTTTATGATCGACGCCTGACCGTCGCGAGTCTAGTTTACAGACTCCCAAAGTCGATAATGTGGGTTCCTGCCGTGCCGATATTTTCAGAAAACAAACATTCTATGTAGATTGAGTTTGAAACTTTTTTTTAGGTTCTCGCTTTATTTGAAGAACACGATGGAGCTTTCACCGCTTTCGTAGAACCTTTTGTTATTCTTCTCATTCTTATCGCCAATGCAGTCGTCGGTGTCTGGCAGGTGAGTTTGAAAAAAAAAAAAAGTCGATGCAGAATTATGGAAATGCGTTGCTAAGCTCGCCACGAAATTAATTTGTCATTCTTCTCGGAAATGTAATCAGGATTGGATTTGCTAGGAAAATCCCTAGTAGTTGAAATGTAAAGTCCTAGGGATTTAATCCCAGTGAAATATTACTTGTGGAAGCAGGTGTTACGTAGCGAAATGTTTTTGGGCTATTTTTGAAGAGTAACCTTACAAAAATAACTTTCTGGAAACGTGAGACGATTCTGAAATTGAAAAAAAATTGTAACAAAAATATTTGCTTTTTTTATGTCTTAAGTAAACGTTGGGGAAATTTGGGATTTTTTCATTTGTTAATTTTCGTTACGTAAATATCTATCATGTGGATTAGTGATTAATAACGTTTGAAACCTTTGAAAGACGTTGAGTTATTACCCGAGAATTAACACAATCAAATTTATATATTTACGTAACTGTTATATTAATTCTTTTTTGAACATTCATAATGTCAAGGTTGTAACCTATTTTATTTTGTGTACATTTACTCAAAATCAAATAATTATTGCATATTATGTTGGTGTGTGTGATAACGTACCACTTTTCTAGATCGTAGTACGTGTAACTTATTAGTTGGGCAACTAAAAGATAGTATGTTTGTTGAAAATTACTATTTCATGTTTCCCTAATCTGAAATAACCTGTTTAACACTTAAAATTTAATGAGAGAATTGCAATTTTGTGACTTCTTGGTCAAGTTATTAGTTGTTTTCTGATAAAAATGTTAATTTAAGAATGTTTTTTTCTAACAGCCAGACGAGAGAATGAAAATTTTCCATGTTTTTGTGTACATACTTCTTAGGTAGGATTTACCTACGTTCAATTTATTTTACTTTGAAGTATGTTGTATTTAATCACGTAACAAATGATAAAGTAACAGCGATAAGAACCCGGATATGGTGCAATTACGCAAAGCCTGTCTGTGTTTCAAACTCTACTAATTTTCATTTAAAATTTCAGGAAAGAAATGCCGAATCAGCAATTGAAGCTCTTAAAGAGTACGAACCCGAGATGGGCAAAGTTCTCCGTGGCGACAAATCCGGTGTACAGAAAGTCCGGGCGAAAGAAATCGTCCCCGGAGACATCGTCGAAATCTCTGTTGGTGACAAAATTCCCGCTGATATTCGTCTGACTAAAATCTTTTCTACGACTTTGCGTATTGATCAATCAATTTTGACCGGTGAATCTGTTTCGGTCATCAAACACACTGATGCAATTCCCGATCCACGTGCCGTAAATCAAGACAAAAAGAATATTCTCTTCTCAGGTACCAATGTTGCCGCTGGTAAGGCTCGTGGTATTGTCATTGGTACCGGTTTGAACACTGCAATTGGTAAAATTCGTACCGAAATGTCCGAAACTGAAGAAATCAAAACTCCTTTGCAACAAAAACTCGACGAATTTGGCGAGCAATTGTCTAAGGTTATTTCTGTGATTTGCGTTGCTGTTTGGGCTATTAACATCGGTCATTTCAACGATCCCGCGCATGGTGGGTCTTGGATCAAGGGTGCTGTCTATTATTTCAAGATTGCTGTTGCATTGGCTGTCGCTGCAATTCCTGAAGGTTTGCCAGCTGTCATTACGACTTGTCTGGCTTTGGGTACCCGTCGTATGGCTAAGAAGAACGCCATTGTTAGGTCTCTGCCTTCTGTTGAAACCTTGGGTTGTACTTCAGTCATTTGCTCAGACAAGACTGGTACTTTGACCACCAATCAAATGTCTGTTTCGCGTATGTTTGTTTTCGAGAAAGTCGAAGGTAGCGATAGCAGTTTCCACGAATTCGAAATCACCGGCTCTACTTACGAACCAATTGGAGAAGTTTTCCTCAAAGGTCAAAAAGTTAAATGCTCTGAATTTGAAGGGCTTCAAGAACTTGGCGTTATCTGCATTATGTGCAATGACTCTGCTATTGATTTCAATGAATTTAAACAGGCTTTCGAGAAGGTTGGTGAAGCTACCGAAACTGCTCTTATCGTTTTGGCCGAAAAAATGAATCCTTTCCAAGTTACGAAATCTGGAGATCGTCGCCAAACCGCTATTTGTGTTCGTCAGGACATCGAAACCAAGTGGAAGAAGGAGTTTACTTTGGAGTTTTCACGCGATCGCAAATCAATGTCTTCCTATTGTGTTCCTTTGAAGCCCTCACGTTTGGGTAATGGTCCTAAACTTTTCGTTAAAGGTGCCCCTGAAGGTGTCTTGGAACGGTGCACTCATGCCCGTGTTGGTACCCAGAAAGTTCCTCTCACTAACACTCTCAAGAATCGTATTTTGGACTTGACTAAAGTTTACGGTACCGGACGTGATACTCTTCGTTGTCTTGCTCTTGCAACTGGTGATAATCCGATGAAACCCGAAGAAATGGACTTGGGAGATTCTACTAAATTCTACACTTATGAAGTTAATCTTACCTTTGTTGGTGTTGTTGGTATGTTGGATCCTCCACGTAAAGAAGTCATGGATTCGATTGCTAGATGTCGTGCTGCTGGTATTCGTGTTATTGTTATCACCGGTGATAACAAGGCTACCGCTGAAGCTATCTGCAGACGTATTGGTGTTTTCACCGAAGATGAAGATACAACTGGAAAATCATACTCTGGTCGCGAATTCGATGACTTGAGTCCTGCCGAACAAAAGGCTGCTTGTGCCAAAGCTAGACTGTTTTCTCGCGTAGAACCTGCTCACAAATCAAAGATTGTTGAATACTTGCAAAGCATGAATGAAATTTCTGCTATGGTAAGGTGTTAAATTTTTATCTTTTCGTTTGTAATATGTGATTTGGTAGACTGGTGATGGTGTCAATGACGCCCCAGCGTTGAAGAAAGCCGAAATTGGTATTGCTATGGGTTCTGGAACAGCCGTCGCTAAATCAGCCTCCGAGATGGTTTTGGCCGATGACAACTTCTCGTCTATTGTAGCCGCCGTTGAGGAAGGTCGCGCCATCTACAACAACATGAAACAATTTATTCGTTACTTGATTTCCTCGAATATCGGTGAAGTCGTGTCAATTTTCTTGACCGCTGCTCTTGGTCTTCCCGAAGCTTTGATTCCTGTGCAACTTTTGTGGGTCAACTTGGTAACTGACGGTCTCCCAGCTACCGCTTTAGGTTTCAATCCACCCGATTTGGATATCATGTCGAAACCGCCTAGGAAGGCCGATGAATCTCTCATTTCCGGATGGTTGTTCTTTAGGTATCTCGCTATTGGTGGCTATGTAGGTGCTGCGACTGTTGGTGCTGCCGCCTGGTGGTTCATGTATTCTCCTGAGGGTCCACAGTTGAACTATTACCAATTGGTGGGTTGGTGAAGGGGAGTTTGAGGGGTGGTGCTAATGGGGGTTTGTTCCAGACTCATCATTTGCAATGCATCAGTGGCGGACCTGAATTCAAGGGTGTCGATTGCAAGGTTTTCAACGATCCTCACCCCATGACCATGGCTCTCTCTGTACTTGTAACAATTGAAATGTTGAACGCTATGAACAGGTTTGTTCCGTGTTGGTGTTTGTTTTTTTGGTTTATTGAAATGTTGTAGCTTGTCTGAGAACCAGTCGTTGATTGTTATGCCCCCATGGTCTAATTGGTGGTTGATGGGCTCGATGGCTCTTTCCTTCACACTTCACTTTGTTATTCTTTACATTGATGTTCTATCCGTAAGTGAAGTAAACGGTTGTTGGGTCGGTGTTGTGATTATTTTTTTATACAGGCTGTGTTCCAAGTGACTCCATTGACCCCAGAGGAGTGGTTAACTGTAATGAAATTCTCAATTCCAGTAGTATTACTTGATGAAACGCTCAAATTCGTCGCAAGAAAGATCACAGATGGTGAGAATCCAATTTACACTGTGCATTGGATTGTACTAATGTGGGCCGTATTCTTTGGTTTACTGTGTGTGAGCCCCATCTAAATGTGACTGCCTCCTTGGTCGAGGACAGTGTTAGTGCGTAAACGGGTATCAACAATAGGACCAAACTTGTTTTTTCATTTCATTTGTTTGTATCAAGTGCCTTTGAATTGATTATCAGAAAACTGAGAAAAATAGTAATAAATGTTGTGCAATTTTTAAATTAGATCTTTTTAATGGGATTGGGTTAGGTTTAACGCTTGGTCTGGATATTTCAATACTGAATCTCGTTTACTCACTAACTGTGCTGCATAACTCTTAGTACCCTAACATGAAGAAGCAGGCGTCTTCCACCACACTCGTTCAAGGCATGCTCCATTCCTGTGATTCAAATAACGAACTGCATGCCTTGAACGCGATCGACAAGAACAGGCAAGTTGGTACTTCTCAAGTGTTGTGATTCTTATAGACAAAATCTAATAAAAAGTGCATGGTTCATAAAGCGCAACAAGACTGACCAGTTTTTTGACCAGCAACGAATGCTACAGACCATACGATATGGCGTAAATTAGTGAAATTTAAAATACAAGCGAGAGCATGATTGTTGATCAGAATAGTTTCAAATTTATGGCGCGTTAGTTGAGATTAGATGAGATTTCGGTGATATTTTTAATAGTGCTCGTCCATTTTACTTAGAGTAAAGTAGCCAATTCGTGTACTTAGCAGTAAATTTGAAATTATCACTGATTCACGTCTTATTACCCCTTGATTTAATTACACTTTGTTGTATTGAATTGAGTAAGTCATAAAAGATTCAGTTTGTAATAAATCAGTTACAAATAATTTTGTGATTTACCAGTTTTATTTATTGGTGCATTTTCGATGCGCAATCTGGTGTTTCGGCAAAGAGTTTTCATGATTTTGTGTGCATTTTGGAAGTAAAATTTTTTTTTTGGAAACTTTTTGTCTTACACTAGCGTAAACTGTTACAAAAATGTAAATATTTGTAATGGGCAGTGTTATTAAAATAATAAAGTTATAAACGTTATTTAGTGTGTTTGCCATTAACTGTTTTGCACTTTGTGTGTATTAATTTTTAATTATATACCTCAAGTTGTTTTAATTGATAAATTACCGTTCCATTTGTGTAAACTTAGAGTTCTTGCTCTAACACAAGCTTGACTAATTCCTCTGTTTTGTGTGTCAAGTCACTTGTTCCGAGGATGTGAATGTAAGTATTGTCATGTAATGTTTTATTGACTCGACTTGAATGTAATGTGTTTTTGATGATTTTGGTTTTTCCAGTCTCCCCTGTTGTGTTTCGCGAATAACGTCACACTCATCTCGATGACTGGATGAGCGAGTTTGGAAGTGATTGTTATTCTGGAGCTCTCGGACCCTTACTAATTCTCGGATTGCTGTTTATCTTTTTAACCCTCGCTTTGGTTTCTTTCTCTTGCTTACGCCGTATTGTAATTCTGTTTCAGTTGGCGAAACTGTTGTAGATAAGTGGTAACAAGCTGACTTCCTTCGGTCGATCGATCTTCATGCTTTTTTATTATATTTATAGAGTAATTTAATTTTAGAAGACTTGCAGCTATTTATTTTTTCACCTAACTCGATTTTACGATTATTTTGCTACTGTAGAATTGCATGCTGTATTGAAAGACACGGGGTATTTAGTTTTAATTTCGAGAAAGCTTTATTTGCATAAGTTTACTAAAATCATCTTGTGTTGTTTTGTCGAAAATCATCCACCTTTTGTCTTCCCGGAGACCTGTGATGGTGTAGAGGCGCATTAGAAACTAACTAACGAAACAATGTACATAAAATGATATATTTAAGAGAATTTCAAGATTGTTATTGATTTGTGAGCGAAGCTCGTTTTTGGAGCTTTGTTATTCTTGTGAACTATTCGCAGACGAGATCAGCACCGACCGGGATCATTTAGAAAGCGAGAGGAGGATGTAGCCTCCTCGACTTCCCCTGAGTGTTGTCACAATTTTCAAATTAATCAACCTATTCGTTAGTTTAGTTCACGTTTGCCACGTGTGTGTGTCGTGGCCTCATCGTTCGTTCACGTGTGGTTCGGTTCGAGCTGGTCTCGACTGAGGACGGGCTGCGCTGGTTCCGGCAGCCCCCATGCCATTGTATAGTTCCACATTTAATTCACATCAGTTTTGTAAACAGGATATTTGTGTAAATAAAGTGATGGCATCAGGCTGTCTTAACTTAAAACACTCTTCACTTCTCAACCCACCCTTCCATACAGAATTTTAATTTTTAAAAATGAACTTCACCTCAAGGTAGTGAAGTAATGTTTTTTAATGCACCTTCTTGGATCCAGCAGTGGGCTACAAAGGTTATCTTCTTTTTGAGTTAAAAGGTTAAAGGGAACTCCCACTGAAAAAATAAATCGATTATTTAAAACTGAATTAAATTCTGTTACTAACGCATTTATCTTAATAATTAATGAGTAGTAGCGTAAATCGGCGTGGAAAAATTTGTTGTTGTGTTGCTACGGGATTGTGAAATGTTTGGTCTCTAGTAATAATTACAGAGAATTGTTTGGGGCTTTGAATAATTATTGAGTAAATCAGTTGTGGCGGGATGATTCAGTTGTCTTTGTGTACGATTTGGTGTTCGCACGAGTGCAGGTTTACCGAGATTAAAAATTATTCACTTCCTTTGAATTTCTTTGAATTGTGCATATTTTTATCGAGATGATACTGGTATTACGTTTGAAAGACGTAATTTTTAATGTTAAAAAAGACATTTCATACTCATTAAAGAAACATGATTCATTTCAATCTTCCTTAATACATATTTATTTGAGTTTTTACAATAACGCGCTCAACAATTTTGGGTTAACGGGTTAACGCAGTTGTAAAAACTAGTTTTAGTTTTTTTTTGAAAATGATAAAATAATTGATTATAAATATTTATCCCATATTCATACTTAATGTTTCTGTTCTGATCTTCATTTTATTCCTTCAATTTACGAACTTATTATTTTTTTAATAGAAAAATTTCAATAAAATATTGGGTTTTTAATATTTACTGAAATTTTATTTTTTTGTTGCATGAAAAAAAGGTAAGTTTTTAAAATAAGGTCATTTCTTCACGAATTGATTGTCTTTGGAAAAATACAAAAACAAGAACATAATATGGACCATTTTATTGATGAAATACGTAAAATACCAGAAAAGGGGAAAAATTAGCATACCAAAAAAAAAGGTTAGGAATATTGTGGGAGACAGATTAAAGAAAGAAAAGGAATAGAAATAGAGTAAAAAATAGACTGGATATGTTAAAGAACTACATAATCTAAAAATTGTTCTCTAATTGGAAAAAAATTCTTAAATTTTGTGTTGTGGAATTTCAAAAACACTTAAAAAAAAACTATAAAAGATTTACAAGAAATTTAATAAATTTGAATTGAATTTCTTGAAAATATGCGTGTTATGAACATAATTTTGGTAGTCTTAAATGATTTGGCTTTTTTTTAAATAAAATGTGCGATTTGTGAATTCCAACTTTATCCAACGTAAATAACGTTTTTGTTATGATCTACAATTTAAGAAAGTATCACGTCAATGATAGGAGAAAAATTGGTAAGTACGAGTACCTATGTTGGAGAAAATTAAGGTTTTGACTTTTTCTTCGGTAAAATATCTGAAAACCACATTTTTAATTTTGAGTTTTGTTTATTAGTTGCATGAAAATATATTTCGGAGAGTAAGTTCTGAATCTTTCATGTCCACATTTTTAATATTTTAGAAAATCCAAACTAAAAATAAGGACATTTAAGAATTATTATAACGTATGGAAGAAATCACTAAACAGGAATCATTCCAATTGATCATAAATATCACAAAAAGAGGAAAACTAAGCATTCAAAAGCAGGTAGGTAAGAAATAGATTGCCAAAATATATAGAAATAAAATAAAAAATATACTGGGCAACAATCTAAAAAATGTTAAATTTTGTGTTGTGAAACTTAAAAAACGGTGAGTATAAAAGCTTAACAAGAAATTTACGAAGTTCGAATTGAATTTCTTTAAAATATGCTAATGACATTAATTGTTAAATAAAAGAAGAAAAAAGACACTGATGTGTTAAAAAAGCACTGAGCTTTGGAAGCCTTAAGCAGCGAGCTTCAAAATAAAATGACCTGAAGCTTTTCCTTTTTTGTTTCGATCTACAATTTTCTGAAATGAGAGAAAAAATTAATTAAATAAAATTTGTACATAGGAAAAAATTAGGGTTTTAGCTTTTTTGTTATAAAACATTCCACCTAGAACTAGACAGTAGTTAAGAATCTGAAAGATTTTTTTTTTAATTTTGAGTTTTGTTTATTAGTTGTATGAAAATATTAAATTTCGGAGAGTACGTAAATTAGTTCTGAATGTTTCAACCCTTCGTTTTTTTACTCTTTTAAAAAATACGAATATAGTAAAACATTCTTGAATTAATTAATTATTATTATACATAACACAAAGAGGAAAGAAATCACTAAATAGGAATTATTCCGATTAATTATAAATATCAAAAAGAGGGAAAAAAGCATGCAAAAGCTGGTAGGTAATTTCGGTGAGAGATAGATTGGCAAAAAAATAAAAAATATACTGGACAACAAAATCGGAAAATTATTTCCCAAATTGAAAAACTTGTAAATTGTGTTGTGGAAATTCAAAAACCACCAAAAATTACGTAATTGTACTAGAAATTTATTTACAATCATAACTCATCGTAAACATAAATAAAACGAGTCTCACCTCGTGCAAAATTTATGCGAAGTTATGTTTACAATTACTTAAAGGTGAAATATTTATTATCGTTCAGAACATCCGTTGCGGTTTCCGTTCCGGTGCAAAGTAAATATTAATCAAAAGAAAATAATTCAAGTGATAATAAATCGCCGCGATAAAAAATTATTATTTGTTTCTGTTACAAGTGTCATGAGTTTGTTTTGCTGAAGAAACATTTTATTATCTCCATTATGCTGAAAAACTCGACTGATCACAACTGTATCACTCGTCTTTCAACATAAATCGAATTCAGATTTGTGCAAAATCTGACCGCAAGTTCGCGCCAATTGTGGTTTCAGCTGAAGAAAGATTTCATTTTGCACAGTTTTCGAACCCAGTGACAATGTTTTGCCGCGAATTGGTGATTACTTTCTTTCTTTCGGTGTCTCTTGTGAAATCACTAGACTGGCAATATCACAACAACACAGAACTTGAAAAATATTTAAAAAATTTCACTTCAACGACTCAAGGGATCAAAACTGGCCTGTACTCAATAGGAAAATCGACAAAAAGTGATTAATCTCTAATTTGAAACAGGAGAGTGATTTTTTCTTTCAGAAAACGACTTGTGGGTGGTTCGGTTAACAGCCGCCAAGGATTCGAAAATTGGTGTCCCAAATGTTAAATTTATAGGAACTGTGCACGGGAATGAACCTGTGGGGCGGGAAATCCTCCTTCATTTCATGGAGGTACTCAATTTCCCATTTTTGTGTTTCATTTTAACAAAAATTTCAGTTTTTGCGCGACAATTACCAAGTCGATCCGACAATCACTTGGGTTTTAGACAACACAAAAATCCATTTTTTGCCCAATTTGAACCCGGATGGCTTCGCTTTGGCCAGTGAAAACATGTGTGAGGGTGAATACGGCCGAAATAACGCCTTTAGGATGGATTTGAACCGGAATTTCCCGGATTATTACCGCACAAACCGAATTCCGGAGGCTCCTGAAACCAAAGCTGTGAAAAAGTGGCTACGTGATGTGCCTTTTATTTTATCGGCGGCTCTCCACGGCGGGGCCCTAGTCGCAAATTATCCATTCGATTCAGTACAAGAATTGAGTAAGACTGTTATTATTTTCGCGGTTGTTTTTTCAGTGGCGTTTCAGCTTCGCTTTCGACAAATCCGCCGTCGCTGACTCCTGACAATGACGTTTTCATGCATTTGGCGAATGTTTACGCGAGAAATCACTTAAAAATGCACAAAGGCGATCTGTGTAATAAGTTTCAGAAATTCGAAGGAGGAATTGTTAATGGAGCTGCTTGGTATCCGCTCACAGGTCAGTGATGGTGAAATTACTTTTCAAAATGTTTTTAATTACAATTACAATTGAAATTACAAATTATGCGAAGGTAATTAATTACAATTACAATTACACGCTTTGGTGTAATTTCAAATAATCAATTACATCATCTCCTGTTTGGAAAGGATCAGGTAAAAACTGGGAAAAAGTTTTAAAACAATAATATTTCATTTGTAGTTAGTTGTTTTAGCTTTTAAATAAAACAATAAAATAAGCTTCAATAAAATACTGATTTCATAGTTTATAATTTTTATTATACAAGAAAAAACACAACTCAAAAACTTACATCTTTTATGATATACAGGTGCGCCAGAACACGCGCCCCAGAGAAAAATGTTATGTAAGGTAAGATACTAGGAACATGGAAAAAATGGAAAAAAATTCTATCTATAAAAAATTATTTTTCAAGTTTCTTTGCTACAGGCTATTACAAGAGGAAACAAGGAAGCTTTATCCTAAATTATAACTCTGTTTAATGTTATTTGTGGCTTTTATTAGCAAGATTTTTGTACATTTACTAAATAATTATAAAAAAACATATACAAGATCATTAGTATCATTAAATAGACATAAAAAATGTCAAAAAATAAATGTCAAAATTGTTCGACAAAGAATTTTTTAAACATTTTTTCCATGTTCCTGGTACTTATCTACTTGAAATTTTTCTCTGGGGCGCGAGTTCTGACACACCCTGTATACAATTTTAACAATTAATCTAACTTTTCTGATACTTATTTATCTACTGCTATATGCTATTATTATGTTTTAAAAACAAAACATTTTCAATTTTTTTTCTACGTGGTGTCAAAATTTGACCACAGGAAATAAACATTTGCTCAACAGGTATATAAAGGTAATAGAATATTATATTTTTTTAAAAATCTTAAATATTGCCGGATAGTCTTTTATAGAAAGGAGTTTTTATTTGGTGAATTCAAATAAGCGAAAAATTTTTTATATGAGGCATTTTCGCTGAGATTGTTTTTACAACTATTTTCTATAGGTGATTCGGGAAAAAATTGGTTACTATTTGAAGGCAAAAAATGTTTTTGAATTGCACTCATAAAAAGTTTCCTAACGGTGACATTTTATTTTAAATCTTTTTCGGAATTAATCCAATTGAGTTTAAATTGTGGTATTGAACAAGTTGTTAAAATATATGGTCTGCTAGAAAATAGATTAAAGTTTAAAATATGGGAAAACCGTTTTTTAATATCAGTTATAATTGAATCTTGGAGCTCAGTACAAAATTTTCAATTTTCAATTTTTTGATCATTATGAATTAGTTGGAAAACTGTAACTGGTTTTCTCCCTGAAGGGTATCAATAGTCATAGCCAACATATTTTTAATGGGTGCATAAACAAAAAATTGGTATAACTTGCAGGACTTGAGAACAATTATTATTTATTACGCGAAAAAACGATTTCTTCTTTCTTATGTTTGCTGAATTTTTTGTATTTAACATTTAGAAAATTTAAAAACAATATAATTTTTTGTATACTGAGAGTACAAAAGAAAAAAATCAATAAATAACATAAAAAAATGTAAAGAAAAGAGTACATGTTCAAAGTTGCAAAATGCTTCAAGTTGTTGAGTTTTGAAAAATAATACACTACTGTTAAATTTGACAAAAAAAACTCTGGAAACAATTTTAAAATTGACTTTTTTGAAAATTTGCATGAATATTCGTAAATCTAGTGCTGAAAACAGCTCAATTTTTCATGAATGTAATTAATTTACGATGAGTAAAATTAGGGTATACAAAAACTTAATAAATGGTCTCATATTTTACATTTTCAAGAATATCAAAAAAATTTTTTTAATTCATTTGAACATTTTTTCTTAATTTTAATATGCAAAATTATAGAGGAAGGGTGAAAAAAATGGATTTTTCATTTTGATGAAGATTACACAATACAGAAACAATTAATTCTTTTAAAAAGTAAATTGAAACTGAATGATCAAGCTATCCGGCTCATGTATTGATTTAATTAATAAAAATTTTCTCAAATTCGTGGACCAAAAAAAGAATAAAACAAATACAATTTTTTTCTCGCGCTATTTCTTAGGATTACGTATCCAATAACCGTACCTCAGAAAATTTTTTGCCAAAAGATTTCAACACTAGAAACTTAAAGCTTACACATGGATTTTTTTAAAGTTAAATACGATCATTTTTCATTGAGGTACAATATTCAAAATTCATCAAAAGATTTAAGAAATTTTTTGTTATTTAATTTTTTTATAGTAGTAAAAGGTTTAAGTAAAATGTTATGTCGTTTTCACGTTTTTGAGGTAATAAGAAATTTTTTTTCAATGGGTTTTTTAAAGAGCTTAATTTTGAATTAATTTGAAAAATAGAAAAACAAAATAGCGTTTTGACTTTTGATCCATTTTCTCGAAGGGGAAGATAGAAAAATAGAAAATTTAAGATATCTTTGACATTAAAAGTGATTCTAAAGAATGCAACGTTACTAAAAAAAGATTAGAATAAACACGAAATTCCAAATGTTATTAAGAGTTATTACTATTATTTACTATTGTTATCTTTTAAAGTAATTGTAATTAATTACTTAACAATACTGTCACAGGTAAACCAACAATTTATTGATCAAGGTTTTATTCAAATAATTTCAATAGGAGGTATGCAAGATTACAATTATGCATTCCACGGTTGTATGGAAATCACTCTAGAAATCTCGTGTTGTAAATATCCACCTGCGGAAGCCCTGCCACAGTTCTGGGAAGAAAACAAAATGGTAACCTGACTGGTGAATAACTCCGGCCTAATTCCCATTTTCAGGCGCTAATAAATTACTGTGTGGAGGCCCACAGGGGCGTCACGGGCCAAATTCTCGACAGTGCCACTCTGCAGCCCGTCGAGCAAGCCGCTTTGCAGATTTCGGGTCGAAATATCACGTTCCACACTGGCAAAACGGGTGAATTCTGGAGACTCCTTTTGCCCGGAAATTACAAACTTCAAGTCTCCGCAAACGGCTACTACGACCAAGTCGAGTCATTCGTTGTCAGGAATTTCAGCAATTTCCCGGAATTGACTTTCCTGAAAGTTTATTTGGTTAATTCGAGTCTGAGCACCACGACGGAGAAGAGAACTACGAAAGTGACGACGGAACTTTCACAACGCACTTCAGATGGCGCCGCCACAACGGATTCTTCAACAGTTGCTGAAATTATCGAAGAAAATAAGCCGATGATTGCCAGGCAAATTCGTGAAGAAAATTCGGCGAATGGGAACGGCGCTTTTGTTTATTTCTTCTTTTTGCTCTCTTTTCTGCCGAGACTGATTTAATTTTTTTGTTTAATCAAGGGCCCAATAGGTATACAGGATGACTCAAAAACGGGTGAGAGGGTTTTTGGGTCATTCTGTATTTATTTTTGATGACTGTCCTTAAAAAGACAATTAATTAGTGCCACACTGTACATAATTAATTTTAAATTGTTTATTTGTGTATTTTTAACACATTGTACAAATTTATTATGAATAAATATTTGATTTAAAATAATAACAGGGGCCAAATTTCTCATACAATCTTTAATTTTCCTTTTATTTTTGTTTTTTTTAAATTACTTGAAATTTTTACCAAAGCAGCAAGGTTTTATTCAAAAACTAAAATACATTTTATTTCTTAAACATTTCTGGAAATTTTGGAAACTTTAGTTAATAAATTTTACTTAACTGTTTTTTTTCCTTTCTTGTATCATAATATCATAAAACATTTTGCTCTCATTTTTGGTCTGATGAAAAATTATTACGAGTCGTTTTTATAAAAAAAATGTTTATATTAATTACATTTAAATTTCAGAAATGGCAGAAAAATGTTTGTATAAAGTTTAATAAAAAAACAAAGAAAAAGTTAAAAAAGCTAAGTTTATGAACAAGATTTTTACTTAAAATTCATCTAAAACTTTCTTTGTTTAATGAATGGCAAAGTAGGTATACAGAATGACTCAAAAACAACAGGCTTTGAAGAAGTTTGACAAGTGGGAACAGCGCTGTTGTTTGTTTTTTCTTTTTTACTCTATTTTTTATTGCGAGTGACTTAATTAGGTTTTGTTTAATCACTAGGTTATGACTGAAACAAGTTTTGAAAAACAGAACGAAAGTGTTTTCGGATGACTGCGCTTAAAAAGACAATTAATAAGTGCCACACTGTACATAAATTAATTTTAAATTGTTTATTTCTATATTTTCAACACATTGTACAAATTGATGAATAAATATTCGATATAACATAAAAACTTTAGTTAAAAAATTTCGAATGAAATTTTCTGCGTGATAAAACATTTCGCTCTCTATGAAAGAGTCGTTTTTATGAAAAAAAAATATGAAAAAGAAGTTATAGTTGCTTTAAGGATTATATGTAATTATATTTCAGTAATAACTGAAAAATCTTTGTTTCAAATTTAATAAAAAAAAGAAAAAGTTTATAAATGCTTAGTTTAATGATGTTATAAGTTTATGAACAAGACTTTTAACATTTTACTTAATAGATATACAGGATAACTCAGAAACGAGCTTTGAAGTTATTAATCTGACATTATCACCCCAACTAAGACGCTAAATTTGAATAAACACCCGTTACAAATTGATATAAAAAAATAATAGGGGTCAAATTTCCCCTAAAATTTTTAATTTTCCTTTTAATTTTTTTTCTGAAATTACTAAAATATTTTAAATTTGTTAACCGAAAACAATATGTTGTGGAAAACAGCAAAACCATAACAAAAGAATTAACGATACCAAGAATTCAAAAAATTAGTTTTAATTCTGATGGAATTTTTGAAACCTTTTTAGTTTTAATAAATTTCAGATAAACGATCATTTGATTTTTGCATGATGAAACATTTTGTTCTCATCTGTGGTCTGATGAAAGATTTTATTAAAAGAATCGTTTTTAGGAAAAATTACGAAAAGAAATTCAAGCGGTTTTTAAGAATTATATGTAATTATATTTAAATTTCAGTATTAAAAGAAAAAACTTTGTTTTAAGCTCAATAAAAAAAATATGAAAAGGCTAAAAAAACTTGGTTTTGTGTTTTACAAAGTTTATGAACAAAATTTTTTACATTTTACTTAAAATTCTCCTAAAACTTTTAAAAATCTAAAATTGTTTAAAATGCAATTAATTTAATTTTTCAGGATTTTAAAAACTTTATTTTCTGAAATGTAGAAAAAAGTTATTGACGTTTTCACCCGAAAAGCGAATATGACAAAAATTTGCTGACGTATTTTTCAAATAATTTTACAATATCTGTCATGGGGTTTTATCTAAATTGGCCGAGGAGTTTATGATAGCAAATATTACTGACGCAGTTGGTGACGTATCCTTGCACTTAAGTAACCAAAGTGTGGGCAAACCTAATGACTTTATAAAGCTATCATTTTAATAACAAAATCAATAAATTATTGTTGCCAATGCTGTTTTATCCATAATATAAATATTAATTGTTTTATTTATTCCAAGCACTTGCAGTAATGATTGTACTGTTCCACCTACCTACTTACAAGCGGAATGCAGTTAAAGACAATAAAGATGAAATAAAAAAAAATCGTATGGCTTCATAAATCATAACCAGATAAACACTAGCCTATTTTTCGGTAACGCAACCGCTTTCGCTAATATCATTTTAGCAAAAACACTCCCGAGTGATTTATTTCATTGTGTAAACTGCCCCAGGTGGTAGGTGTTCCGAACATCCGAAGCTAAAAAACAAGTGCAAAGATTTATTTAACAATGCTTTTTTCGAATGGAGAATGCGATATGGGATTTCCAAGTAGGGCAGTGTTATGTTGTCTTGTATCGTATCGCGAAGTTTGTAAACCGATCTCAATATAACGTTAATTAGACATTGAGCTTAATGAGAGGATCCGGTTTTTTAAGCATTCTTTTCCCATTGCCGCACCACAAACCTGATACCAACAACCAAATAAATCTACACGCGTCAATGCGGCCTTTATCGAAACTAAATAAACTCAAGCGAACTGATACCATGCAAAACGAAGACAATTATAAATCATACAGTGACGTAAAAAAAGTAAAAAAAAAAAACAAAATAATAATTAAAAAATTGTATTTTTTCTATTTTATTATCGACAGGATTCGATGACTTTGTTTTTATTTATTTTTTAAACAAATAACTAATTTTTAAAAATAGAACAATTATTAATAATTATTTTAAAACTTCAAATAGGGTTGTTTTTAATTATTTTATATTGACATTGTGAAACTATCAGAAAAAACTATATGGATTACTTTTTACAACGTCTTGTTGTATCTATTTTCTACGTAATGTTTATCAAATATAAATTCATTATTACGTCTACAAATATAATAAATAAACTTATTTTCACTACCTAGATGCAAATCGTAAGTATTAATTTATATTTAAATTGTGAATATGTGAGTTTAATAAAAAGAAATCGTTTTATATAGCAAATTTTCACCAATACCTGAAAATCTTGTAAAGATGACCAAAAACTGCTAATAAATCCAAGATCCTTGGACAATTTTACATGTGAAACCCCTAATTTCAGTCTAAATTGTTAATTATTGTGGCTTTGAAAAATTAAAATTCTAGCAGGGCCAAAGTGACAAATTTTAAACAAATTATAAAAATAAGCAAAACGAATTACTTTTCCGAAATTTTTGGACAATTTCTCTTCAGAATACCTAATTTTGAGCCAATTTTGTAACTTTTGCTACCTTGATGAACTTATGATTTTATTTAATAAATAATATTTAATAATAATTTAATAAATACTTGCAGTTGCACTCAAAAATCACAAATTCTCACACTTCACTTTGCAATAAACAAAACAAAAAAATTAAAATTAAAATCCACTGACTTTATATGGCATCTTCTTCTGCTACCTTTTGTGAAAATAAAAAAAAACACAAAATCAGTAGGTACACTGTATTTATTAAATTAGTTGAAATTTGAAATATTAAATAAAATTTAAATGTGATTTTTCCAATAAATCAGCACCTTGTAGCACGATTGTCTCGTCCATTCGTGTGAAGACTCCTCCCATTGGCACTCACTAATCACTCGAAATTTTAAAATCGCTCACTACTAAATGTCTATTAAGCACTCGAAAATATACAAGACGCACTCGCTGGTCATTGGAGTTTTTGAAATAAAAGAAAAAAAAAAACGATTTATTTTGTAACAAAATTAATTTTGTACAATACTTAGTTTTATTCCTGCTTATTTTTCTTGAATAGACAAAAAAGTTTTTGTTAAAATTATTATTRAAGTAAATTTGCATCGTTTTCTACAAATTTTGAAATAGGATTTGAGAATTATACAATTAATTTTTATTTATAATTTAATAAATACTTACTGTTGT